TTCCCTCCCTTTTGTCCCTCCCTTTTGTTGAATGAGCCCACCGAGTATCTCTGACTCCTAAAAGAGTGTGAAAATGAACCTTTTTTTTTGCACCCTGGAAATTATTAAGCCTTCTGGCAAGTTTGTAGCGGAAAAACGAACGCCCTCAAGCGCTTGCATAAAAATGGAGCGCGCCCTCTCGCGACAGAGCCTGCGCAGCTGCAACAAAGATAACAGTATAACATCATAGCTTGTAAAATTGTGACTGATCACAACCGACAATGCAAACTTGGATGCGAGGGTCACTGCGCGTTCACACACTAGAGCTGAAGCCATTTTCGATCGTGTTGCCTGAATCTATATTATAAAGTGTAAACTGTTGAATGGGATGGTGCCAGACTATTTTCTGATTCAAGTGAGCTCCAAACCTCACTTTCAATTTTGTTTTAAAGTGGCTTAAAACAATTGGATGTTTTATCGCAAATTCTAAATTATTCATCAAAAAATAGACTGGTATGAATTGGTAATGAACATTTATTTAATTGCTTTGGGAGTTTACTTCGCTCTCAATATAATATGACCGACCCTTGTATAAAGTCTAGGCCTATACCAGACCGTTCGAAGTGACACACTGTGGCTGTGTTGCTTTGAAAAAGCTGCTGCTGACGAAATCGCAATCCTTCCTGCAAAACGTAATGCACTGGCTATTTATTGTTTTCTTTAACAGAAAACAACGTCCATTGAACTGCCATTACAAGAGTGACGTCGATACTGAATTAGGAATAAAACTCATCATACATACATACAAAAGTACCGATGAAGCTTTAACAAATGTCCAGGCCACCGCAAGTCCTGCGAGTTCGTAAAGTGGAGGGGGGCTGGACCTCTTTTGACGCTAGATGGCGTTCTTTTTTATCAAAATAAAGCATTGCGGTTCGGGGAGGTCCAAAGTCATCTAGATTCTTTTTCGCATTAATAACTTTAAACGAATACTTCGAACAACCACTTACTTGGCAAGTTGTAAATTCCTTATATTTTTGGTGGGAGTACCTAGGAGGGGGCGCTGGGAATTTGCGGAGGGGGACGTCCCCCCCCCCCCACCCCCTCCTTGGCTATACACCACTGGTGGTAGGTTTTTACAGTGTACTTTACTGATGGCGATTCAGTTTCCTCAACGTGCAGAAACATCACGCAGAAGGTTACGGGATAGCATAGCTCCTGGCTTCAGCTTTTGCGAAATCTCATAACAGCTTGAGCAGTTGGGGCCGAGATTGTTGCACCATGTAATTGTTGAATTATTACTTGAGAAATTTTCAATCACTTGCCGCCCGACCAAAAAACAAAACTCCGTTCTCGCGGGGTAGGCTCATGGTTCCCGCCCCACAATTTTTCGATTGCAAGACTCCACAAAAACTGTTTAGCCATCCAGGAGCACCTAGTGGTAGCGCACTGCTCGACGCCAGGTAGGCAAGGTTGATAGTACGATGCAAACTGAGGGGTGTTGGGTTTTGTTTTGTTTTTAATTGCAGGTGCAGCCAGTGGGCAGCAAGACGAGAAAATGGACACCCAATGGACCGTTTACTTGCCCAACTGACGTAAGTTAAGTTTATCAATTTTTGCTCTTTTATTCCAATTCTTCCTCGTAATGAAACCAAAATGTGTTCTTCAAAAGAGCAAAGGCAACGTAAGCTTAAGAGACTGAAGACACAAAGAGCTCAGAGAGGGCGATGGACAAAAGTTCCAGGGAAAATCCAAGGAATCAGGCAGGGACTGAATTTCTGCTTTATTTTTTTTTTTAGGGGTGGATTCGAACCCACATCGCTGAGATTAAAAGTGGGGAATGAACCACTTCGCCAACATCTTTTCACTACCACCCACCGCCCTATCCATTCGCACTGGTAATACCTCTGCTGTTTTTAAGCTCTCATTGAATGGAGCCGTTTGTAGAATGTTTGAGGTTCAACACTTTTTTCATACCGTGTGCCTATAACGCATGCACACGGTATGAAAAAGCAATAATAACTTTAGCCAACAACAAATGTTGTGAATGTATCAGCGCTTTTCATAAAGCGGTAAACAAAAGTGCCAAAGACAGAATTATAGCATATTGTCCTCCGATTTCGAACTAATATAGATCCTAGATAGCTCAACTGCTTCCATGTGTTATTTTCCTAGGCCTCGCCGTTTATCTACACTAACGTGAACAGCCGGCAGAGTGTTACAACCGAGCGGCCACCGATGACGTCAAAGGAGGGAATGGAGGGCGCCACCACCGTCACCCTTGATCCCGATAGCGGCGATAAAGGAGACGCATCCGGACTCATCCCCTCTCTCTTGAGCGTAGTTCTATTGGTGGCTGGCTCTGTATCAACAACACTCCATCTCAGTTTCTAGCCTTCGCGATAATTCACTAGCCGCCTATTGAATCAAATTATAAATAATTTAGAATGTTTTAATAGTGCCTACTAGCTAGCAATGATGTTAACGATTTATCAACAACAAAAAACCTGAAAAATTGTGATATCCCGCAAGTCACACATTTTACTTCGATACTTTTGTCCCCTCTTGCACTGAAACTTTGTCAACATATATAAATGAAGTTGAAGTAATAGAACTTGACCTAGTACGCGAATGTTTCTTTTGGCGTGAAAAGACACACGTACACGCCTATCTTAAGCAAAATCAAAACAATATTTATATTTGTACAATATAAAATTTAATTCCGTTAATATCTATGATAAAATATTACTATAAAAGTTTGCTGAACTTGCATGGTGATTAGACGAAAGATCTTCGTTTGTTTATGCTGTGATTGAGATACTGAACGTTTCAGTGTCACACAATATAGAACTGCAGATTACGATGTTGACAATAGGCATATAAAGGCAGATACAGCAAGCCACGTTTTGTGCATTCAATATATTAATAAGATATCACAGCAAATACCAACCATTCAGTGTTTATTTTGTGTCGATGTATTTTTAGTTCAGTAAATGGAAGCGCCTATAATGACTTTACGAAAGTCACTCAAAATGTTTCTCGTAAAACACTTAGAAGTGTCAGCTGGTACTAAGTCTGACTGGTTAGCTAGCTATTGGGAAATGACTAGAAATCTCATCAGTGAAAAACACACGTTGCGATCATTGTAGCTTTCGATTAAATGTTCAGGTGCCGCTGATTTTTCTGGTCAATTAATTATCCTGAATAAAAGTATTGTTACATTGACTGAGTTGCAGCTAAAATATTCTCTGGACAAATCTGTTCGTAGTTTTGAAATTTTGAGAGTGAGGCAGAGAACTGCCGATGTTCTCATTATCAGCCCCCCCCCCCCCCCCCACTACGTCCATCGCAATCGGACAAGAACCCAACTAGCTTTTTCGATATATAGCGAACACAAGAGGATGGCGCTATTTCATGTTTGGGTTAATATACAACTTTGAGCTAGTTCGGGCGCGAACAAGACTGTTGGGCTACTCTAGTAGACTATTTGGAACCGGAGCCTGAGCATAGGGCAGGGTTGCATTGCTGGTTGCCAATAGCCGCGGCCATCGTAAAGCACAACGGGAAGCCAGCAGGTCTGATCTTTTGAACATCTTTTGACTAGAGGCGTTCGCGCGTTGCATTAGTGCGCAGGCGTAAGTTACGTCCCAAATTAAAGGGAACTAGGTCCTGGAACAGCCCAATTGGGCTACAAAACGCGCTTTGAACGAGATGATGATAATCGGAAATAACATTTAAAAGAAGAAAATATACATCCACACAACTATCCTTTCAAAACTGGGCGTTTTTGTGTTATTCCTGTATTATGCGTGTGAGAACGAATTGTGGGGTCCACTTTTGCGACCCCATTAATTCGAGCCGTTTGGATGCTAGTTGTGATTTCGTTCGTACGCGTAAAGTGTTCGCCTTTTGCGGACGATGAAGAAACCACAATTTTTTGCATTGGTGATTGGTCACCGCGCGCTGTTCCCGAGCTGACACACAACGCGTATAGCGTACACTGAGAACGACACGAAAAACGTATTCGTACTCTGTCATGTCCGATGTAAACAAGCGGGTTTTTTCGTCCTTTCTCGGGAACGGTAAGACATGAGATTGGTTTCCTTTCAACCAGATGTTTGAAATAGGCTAAGTAAACAATCCAAAACATAACATTTTCGGGGGTTTCAGGACCTAGTGCCCCTTTAACAACCAGTCGACTTATAGACCTCGCCCGAAGTTGCTCAAAGTTATCCAAACAAACAGCGCCCTCCTATCATTACCGCGATTAGTCCAGAAGGGGGAAAGGTTTGAATGCTGTAAAATCGTGTTTTTATGGAAACTTTCCCAGTGACCAAAAAACAAAAAACAAGTGCGAGTGCTCAATAAGCTGTGGCTTTCTTGCATGAAAGTCTTGCATGAAATATATCAACATGATCCCTGCCAGAGCTTAAAAATGTGACGCCCAAAAATGCGACGCCGGTGGCACACATGGAACACCATACTTTAGATTGAATTTAGAGTGATTTGTGATAAATACCACGTGACCATAGCATTACTGCACATTACGCCTCCATTTACAAACTTTTCATAAACATCTTTTCAAATTTTTACAACAATTTTTGTTATGTATCTAATTTATTTTGTTTGCTTTTTTTTTGAAAATTAAAAGTTTGGGGTTATATTTTATGGGAAACTTAGGGTATTTTTTGCGGGGACAGACAAACAGACCAACCGACCGACCACGAAGTGACAGATAGAAGCTTCTGCTAGAGCTTCAAAATGTGATCATATTTGGGTTTTTTTTTTTTTGGGGGGGGGGGGGTTCAAACTGTTACTTAAGGCAAATGTTTAAGTTTAAATTTGCATAAGTATTCTGATGAAATGCATTGATACAAGGCTCCCATTGTATGGTTTGCCCTTTCACACACGTGGAGATGAAGTGATCAGACCACCAGAAAAAAAATCACGTGGTGTAAAGATAGGTAGTAATCTTCGTTATCTTTTAAAATCCCAACAGTAAATCGCACGGTTAACCAGAGGCTACTAGCAGTTGCTCGCAATGAGGATGCCAATTGTACAAAACATGGACTGTATGCAATACTGATCTCAACCATAGACTTGGTAGCCTACATGTATTTATAATATCAAACTCTGTGATCATAACCAACTAAAATTACTTCACATCTGTTTATATATGTATTTTCCTTCGCTGATGATTTATGTATCGGATCGCTAATTACGTGTAGCTCATCATGTCTTTATCAAAAGACCTAGGAAGGTTGTCCTTTTTGCTTTCCGCGTTGATATTCCTGCTCGCTGTAGAGGTAGATGTCTTCGGAATTGCTCAAGGTAAGAAAGATGCGCTCGCCTTCCTGAGGCAATATTCTATATCAACTTCTTATAATATCCCTAAAACTTTCTCTTTTAAATGTCATTAGTTGCGTTACTGAGGATGCTTTTGACCACTGCAGTGCACTGCCACTTTATTTATATTTTCAACAAGGGGTTGTTGTGTACATATCCGCCATTAGGGCTAATTAGTTCAGCTAAGCTGTACATTTTGTTTAAGTGAGATCCAATACCTTAAAGTATCTTTAAGTTTGGGTCTATTATGTGAAATCGGAAAGTCATATCCAGTAGGCTATATATACATGTATATATACCCACGCATGATACATTGTTGCCGATCTTTTAGATTTTGAGTATGACTACGATGGCGTTATTGCCGATGACTACAGTGACTGGAACAGAACCATCCGGGATCTCATCACTTTACTGCCGGGATATAACTGCACGGGGGATCCAACATGGCCGGTAAGAGCAGAAAGAAAACTGAACCGAAGGCTTGCAGTGATTAATGTCATTGCCAGTCACATCAAGGCATCCTATAGGTCATCACAAGTCTGTTACACCGTGACACGCTATTGAAAAGGAATTGTGGCAAAGACATTCTTCTCTTTACGATCGTTAAAGGGGCATACAGGATAATTTGTTTAACGTAATCCTTCAAAATGCACCTTTGTGTCACATTTAACTCTATTTACAAATTTCGTTTTTGCCATTTTCAAGTGGATTGTTGTGCCTTTTTGGTTTTATGCTAGGACGAATTTCCATATTCATGAGCAAAACTGTGATGTCATTCCGGGCAGAAACCTCAATCTTACAGCTATTTCAGCCCCGCCCCCCACCCCCCCCCCCCCCCCCGAAAAAAAGTACTAGCATTTTTTGGATATTTTGATGTCATAATCTAAATGGATGTCATATAGAGGAGCAGAAATTAAGTTGGAGCAGAAAATAGGTTGCACAAAATGTGTTCTAAGAAAAAAATCATAGCATGGACCATTTAATCCTCTCCCATTATAATGTGCCTTAAGTAAGATTTGAGGCTTTGCATGGTGAAGATACTAAATAATGAAAGGTTTGCGGAAACACCATGTGCGAATAATTTCTCAACTAAGAGAATGGTTCTGAAAAGAACCAGAGGTATAAACTCGACGTTCCGGTCAGTATGCTCTGACTGTCTTCAGGAGAAGACAGTCAGAGCATACTGACCGGAACGTCGAGTTTATACCTCTGGTTCTTTTCAGAACCATTCTCTTAGTTGAGAAATTATTCGCACATGGTGTTTCCGCAAACCTTTCATTATTTATAATGTGCCTTGACATTGATTCGACTTAATGTAATTGACATGTGATTTCACTGTGTTGTGATATATGATGTATGATTGTGGATTGTGATTTGTGATACTTTCAGTATGGCGTGGAGCAGATTTTCCCCTGTCAAATTCTTCCTCCGTCGGAATCACCTCCTAACTCCGGTAAGCACTGAAAATAGACATCTTAATGCTCAAAATGAACACAGGTTGGGCAATACTTTTAAGGTAAATCTTAGAGAGTAAAGAAATACATTATCTCCCCTGCCAGCTAATACAACAAAATTAATTAAGTGAAACATGGCAAAGTAAAGGGGACAAACCTGTGTTTACAGGAACGGAGTGCCCATCTCTCTTTCGAAGCGATTTGGCCAGACTCGAGCCCATGAAATGCTGCTGTGGGGGGATCGCCACACCTCCTCCACAGCGAGTCTGTTACCTTCCCAGCACTGAATAATGCCGGTACCCATTTAACACCTGGCGCCACTCAAGGGCACAACACGCATGGCAATGGCGAGGCTCGAACCCACAATCTCAGGATCATGAGGCCAGCCCTGTGCTCTACCGCTAGACCACACGTGCTTCCAATTTGAGTATTTGTATGATCTTAGATTTAAGAAATCCAACCTCCAAACACTAATCGTTCATTTGTATTTGGTAGAATTTTTTTAAAACTATTATTCATTTATTTGTTTTCTCAGTGCACATGTTACGCCCTGCAGATATCAATGTGATTGGAGCCATCGGGGACTCACTGACGGTAAGTACGTCATCGTTACGTAATCGAGAACAAACGATATTGTCACACACAGAACACTGAGTAATCTTCCTAATTTGTAATTTAACAACAGTTTAATGACAATTTGCATATCATGCACTGTTGGATGCAACCGTAGCGGTAAATAACGTTTGAGTTTCAACTTTTTTTGATTTCAAAAAGGCATTGGATTTTTAACTGAAAGCTTCCTTGATCAGAATACGTGCCTTTAAATTATCTCGCGTGATTCACTTCGGAAGAAAAGTGAAGCTTGTTTGACGGGTTGTTTAAGTCATTTCACATTAATACAGTTCTACAACTAACTAATGCATGTTCAATCTTACCAAATTAGAACACGTCACTTAAATCTTTCTCGCCATGAATAGTCTATATAGGATGTACATAACATGTCATTTTGTTTAATAACTCACTCTTGTAACTGCAAAGTCCGAACAAAAACATTACTTCTTCGTAATAACATGGGAAATGACGCTTATATTCCCTTCTTTCTACTCCAAAACAGTTTGGTTTCTTTTTAAAAGCCCATGCAAGCAGACAAAACAACAGAAAAACAAACACATTTCACTGATCTTCACAATCAAATATCTTTAATACAGACACATTCCATGTGTTTCCCTCTTGTTATGTATTTCAGGCAGCAAATGGCGGAGGAGCCTGTTCACTGCCACAGCTACTGTTCCAATACCGAGGGAAATCGTTCAGGTAGAATCTTCTGGACTTTTTTTTCAAAACCATTACTATGAGCATGCAGGGGCCTCTCTTTGTTTACAGCAAACACACACAGTGTCTCATATTCATAAGGGGATTTAATTGCATCCCAACCCATTTTAAGTACCGCTGGGCGAGTAAATCGATTACTCGAGTACTCACGAGTACCTTATGCGATACTCGTTGTTCTACTTGTGGTTTTTCATCTACCATACTTATCCTGGTGTGAGTAGAAGCAGGTACTCGCGAGTACCAATTAAGGGTTGAGGGTTCACGGCTTAATACGTCCCCTTCAAGCAGAGAATCACTCCCTCCACCTCTCTCTCACTAGGATTCCATACGACCAAAAAAAAAATAAAGTAAATGACTCAAAACGTCGCACATCCTATACTCAGGGCTGAAGAATGTGGTGTGAATTACAAGCTATTTGTAAGTAAGTTCACGTCATACTGACGTATATGTTATCCTTCTGCTTTTATGGGAATTCGGTTAACTACTCGCGAGTACTCGCCTACTCACGAGTAATTTCTTTGCGAGTACTCGAGTAGAAAAATCCAATACTCGCCCAGGCCTATATGAATATCTCAGTGCTGAATGGTGTGAGTTGCAAGCTATTTGCTTGTAAGTTAGTTCACGTCATACTGACGTATATGTCATTATTCTGCTTTTTATGGGAATTCGGTTAACTACTTGCGAGTACTCGCCTACTCGCGAGTAATTTCTTTAAGAGTACTCGAGTAGAACAATCCAATACTCGCCCAGGCCTAAAATTAAGATCGTTAATTGTACGGGTTAAGAACATTTTTACACGAACGATTAAGTTCTCTTTAAAAGACAAAAGATCAGTTGCTCTTTGTGCATTTTATTTTTATTTCAAGCAACAAAATTGCTCAGAATCGTAAGTAGAATGCGTAACAAGTACCTCGTTGAAGTTTAGCTCAGTGGCTACTATAGTCTATACATAATTATTGAGAAAGCAGGGAAAAAAAGCAGTTTACTTATCTTGCAGCTAATAGCATCTTGTAACTAGATTCCATTGCTAACCAACATTTTAAAAACCATGAATGATTGTGTACTTCCGAACGATGCTACCTCATGTTTCAGACGGAAATATTTTCCACAGGGTATTTAATTGGTCCCGGTCCCAGTATCTTCACTTTGTGGAAGTTTAACTATAATAATGTTATTATTTTGGCATATTGATATGGCCGAAATGGCACAGATCTTGGCTTTCAAGCAAACGAATGGGTCCTACCCATCTACCCCACCCGGACTACCTACTCCCAACTCCACCTCCCTACACCCACAGAGTATATGGACCCGAGTACTAACATTGAAACTTTTCGTGTGCGTTTCAACTATCAACTTCTCACCTTCATCATGTCGTGATTGGCTTATGGTTTTCTTTGTCATGATTTAACCCTTTTCAATTGATTTTTTTCTCAGCCATGGTGGGGACGAGAGTTACGAAACAGTGCCGACACTTGCTAGTAAGTTTTATCTTTAATTACCACCACCAAGGAGGTTAAAGAGAATATACAACATTTGCAAACATCGAAAAACAAAACTATCAAATATTTACGAAATACCTTACTATGATGTTGATAAATGACAGTCTAAAGCATCCTGTAAAATTATAGCACCTGGTGTGAAGTCATTTTCAAGAAAAGTGGTATTTTGTATACATTTCCAACAGAGGTCGGCCGACCACCGTTGGAAAACCTAACTATTTTTCAACCACTGCTCCAAATTTACCATATTTTTTCAGTCCAAATTTTGTTTCCTGTTGGTTACACGTCATGAACGGGTGCAGAATCAGCTATACTGGTTCCCTTACCTTACAATTTTTCGGCATCTATAAATTGATCCTTTTAATCTTTTTTCTTAGTGGAGTCAAGGAACCAGACTACTTGAACATTTTTGTTTTGCTTGGTTTTTCCAGCATTTTTGAACACAAAACTTCAAACATGTCAGTGAAACAATATTTGATCTATTATACTAACCCCTCAAATAGTTCATTTCTGAAAATTACAGCAAAAGCGAATGATGTACATTCCCTTTAATGTTTTCATCGTATTTGGTTAGTTTGTTTGTTGGTTGCTTTTTCTGTTAACAAGATGACTCAAACAATTATGGACGGATTTGTAGGGGTGGTCCTTGGTACAGGATTTGTTTGTCAGGATTTTTAAATGTTTTTAAAAAAAAGCGCTTTTTAATTTAAAAAAAAGGGATGTCAAGTAGTGTACATACATTTTAAGAGGAGTAGAAAAGTGCACAGAATAAGAACACGAGTAATATTCATGTAATGGACCCTATAAGACGTGATTTGGCCCAGCACTGGGATATATTATTGGGGAACATCACCAATGGCGTCCCCCGAAAGTACATACCTGGGAGAGTGGACATAATGTGCCCCTATCCCCGGGATCTCCGCCTGGGGCCTATAATTTTTTGTCAACCCGTTCATTTTGTAGATATTCTTCGGAAATACAACCCAAATTTAAAAGGCTACGGCGTGGGGACAGGGACGTGGTCTACAGACAATGCAGGGATGAACGTAGCCGTTCCTGGATCAGTGGCATAGTGAGTATAAAATGTTGTATCCCTGTATCACTTGCACTGACTCCTTTCAGGGGTATGACAGGTACCATTAGAATGATGCGCGCACGGGATACGTATGCGGCTAAAAAAATATGGGCTTTAAAATCAGCATTGTGTGTGATAATATACCAGGCCAACATGTTTCATCTCCATTTAGTGATGTGAGACAGATACACATTGCAGACGATGTTCTCGAATAAAGCACAACGCAAAAAAGTTATTTGACACGCGATTATATATGTTTCCAAGCCGCATACTTCTCCCGTACTATAGCACCATTTCTAGTGGTCCCTAATACCTTCGGCATATGTACATATGATTTTGAGCAGGGATTAAGGAGTTGTAACATCACCCCCTCCGGAAAACACAAGATGCCGATCATGACGTCCTGTGAACGTTGATAACATGACTTACCAAAAATATCTCCGATTTGAATTTAATGTAGTGCAAGATACCATTTTGGAAATCAAACAACCCAAGAAAACCTCCCTGCTACGGGACGTTAATTTTACGAATGATGCTGAACTAATTTGTTTTTGTAAATTCCTGAAACCGTTACGGATAAGGTAAACTTGTTACTTAAAGGCACCATTTGCACTTTAATGCATTTTGTTCGTTTCGAAAAGTGAAGGGAAACAAACATGCACAAACCTTTTTGATCACGAAACACGATTTCGTTAACAATAATTAGGCCTATACTCTTTATTTTACAAAGATATTTCTTTTAAATGAGAGCATGTCAGACGAAATACTGTCACAGGGTGTTTAAATACCAGGACGATATTTAATCCAAGTAAGCTTTGTGATAATATTCGGTAAGTTACTTTGGGGATAAATGCAAATGCTCTTATATGCCTAGAATGTTGTCATGAATCTCATACAGTGAAATTCAGGAGCAGGCTGAACGCTTAGTGCAGAAGATGAAGGATGACGCCAGCATCGACTATGAGAAAGACTGGAAGTTGGTGACCATCTTCATCGGAGGCAATGACCTATGTGAAGTGTGCAAGGATAAGACCTTGTACTCTCCCGGGGCATATGTCAACAACGTGCAGAGGGCTATTCAGGTCCTGCACAATAAGGTATGAAATCCCACAATGGGAAAGAGAGAACTTTTGGTTTTTAGATAATTTTCTGTTTGAAGCCTGCATGCCACCAAACAAATGGAGCTGTTTTACTTGCGGTGTCGATGCATCATGCAAATCTATAGACGCATCCGGGCACGTGAACACTGAACACTCCCGAGGCCCCCTTCAATGGAGCAACCATTGTGCACGCTATTGTACAAAGCAACTACCCCGTGACAGATTATCCTAACAATAGCACATTTACCATTGGAGGGGGCCTTCGTAAAAGAATTAATTGACAGCGTGCCCGGATTGGTCCTTGAACATCGCACCACCACAGAGCAGTGTAGTACGTAGCCAGGACTTTTTCGGGGGGGGGGGGTCGAGGGCGGGGGCATCAGCATATGCTATGGGGTGGCAACAAGGGCGGACCTTGAAAATTCGAAAAGCGGAGGAAGGGGGAACTCGACATCTTTTGACGGGACAGGCAACGATTGTTTCTTACACATTTTTGTCAAATTTCATAAATCCATAGGGTCCAGGGAATTAAGGGGAGTAGATATCGATTGAAAAATTCGTCAACTTCACTCCACTTCTGTTTCATTACTCAAAAAAGATAGTTAAACAGACACTTCCTTGGCAAGCGACAAATATATATATATTAGGTTCTTTTGTGGGGGCCACCTTGGGAGGAGGGGGGTACTTGAAGGTTTTGCAGCCCCCCCCCCATATCTACGTCACAGGCACATAGGTCCACTAGTACTATCTTGACTAGTACAAAGCTACGCATTACCAGAAAATAGAAACTGACTCAAATGCTCTAATCGCATTTAATCGCAGGAATTGGCTTTTTTTTAAGATGATGACTCATGTCAAACGGGATTCACATCACGTTGGCTTTTTAAGTTGAAAATATTTTTAACGATTTTCTCTTTCCTTTCTTAATATACAGATGCCCCGCACCTTTGTCAATGTTATAGGCATCCTCGACCTCCGACAAATCAATGAATTCAGGGGATTCGTGTGTAAAGCAAGTCACATGTAAGCAATAATTCTTTCACATGTTTAAAAGAGAGTTTTGCATCCGCGAAAAAGTATTGAACGTTTTCGTATAGTACACACGTATATCCGTATGATATCACACACATATGCACATACGTAATGAATATCTGTTACGGCATCGAGAGCGTCATTGCCAGAAAATAATTATAATAGTTGCCAGACAATAATTCGGCTCTCGCAGGGTGGGTTCATTTGTGCCAAAAAAATGAAATTTCTATTACACTGGATTGAAGCAATACCGCATACCCTGGGAAAAAATGATAAATTGTGAATTGCTTTTAGAAAGTACACGGATTTTGTTTTTGGCGGGGAACGTGATAGCCACCCCCCTCCCCTAGAAAAAAATCTTGGCGACGCCCATGAATGTGAGGTATTCTCATGCGCCATGAAGTTGAAAACAAGTATCATTTTGCACAAATTTGGTGTGAAAAAGCGAAAATGAATATACGTAGTGCTATCGTATCAGAAGGCTTCCACACGTATTTCCGTAGCCAGCTCCTAAAAGAACGCACGCAGTGATGAATCGACATAGATACGCGATACGGGCGCAAATTTCTAAACTTGCCGAAAGTCTCAATATAATTATTTAAAGTTGTGCTATTTTTGAGCTTTTGATTTTTAGTTTTTCTAGTCTAGTTGTGTGCCAAGTATAAGGGCACTCGGATTGATTTGAGTTGCCCGAAGTGCCTTTGAAAAAAAAGACGTGTACAAAACTACAAATGTTTTAGGCAAAAATGACCGGAAAAAGGAACAAAAAATCTTAACGAAAACAAGGCTGTTTCGGAAAATGTGCCGAAACAGCCAAATGGAATAGTTGATAAAAAACAGTTACCGGAAACTAAATTATGCTACATTCATCAATATAAATGAATATAGCAAATATATAGGATGAGGGAGATCTTCTGACTCTCTCTGATCGTTGTTCGTTCTTGTAGAGGGTTTTGCCCATGTGTTGCAGCTGTCCGTGATGATGAATTGGAAAAAGAATGGACACCAACGCTGCTGCAGTACCAGGTAAAATCAATCCTTCTTTCGGTCTTGTAAACTTGAAGTTTTACAATGGAACTATCTCTAAAGTCATGCAGTACTGATCAGGAAACTAAACTATTATGTTTTCAAATTTATGGTTTTGATGTCATTGTATGAATTAATGAATTTACGATTGCCAAGGCGTTCATGTCCGTGAAATTATCGAAGGAATCTTGGTGAAGCTGCTAAATAAATTACAACACTGTGACCTAATTCATTTGTCTTAGTCTGTTACGTCCATTGGTATATGGAGATCAATGGTTACGACCTAAATATAGCATCGTCCCAACTACAGTTTGGGACAATGATCCCAACTACAATTTGCGACTGTCCCAATTATAGCTGGGACCATTGGTATAGTTGGGACGTAGAATAATACGACTTGTTTTTATTACAGAGTCAATTGGAGGCGTTGGTTACCAGCGGGACATTCGATGATAAAGAAGACTTCACTGTCGTCTACCAGCCATTCCTGCACGAGTCGAAAATTCCAATGATCGGGGTAATTTTTATTTTTTTCATAGGTCAACTTACACAAAGCATGTATGTAAAATTTAGTTGCTATAGAGTTTGGGCTGGATGTGTTTTTTAAATATATTTTATGGCTAAATATCCAGACTAGTTTTACAAAATCACCTGTTTGAATTTGAAACAGAATCCTAAACAGCACTTTCAAAATCTAGGATAGAAAAGCTCAATTCATAAGCTTTCTTTTAGTACAAGAATCATTCAAATCACTTATGTACTTTTCAAGTTACCGACTTTTAAACACAAATACCGTCTTAAAGTTCTCCACGGATCACAAAACGGTAAGTGTTCTTTCAGCAAAACGAAAACAAATCAAATGTGTGTGCAATGTCTTCGTTTTGCTGAAAGAACGCACACCTTTTGTGTGATCCGTGGACAGATCTATAAAACGGTGGTTGTGTTTAAAATTCCATAACTTGAAAATTACTTAAGTGATTTGAATGATTCTTGTTCTCAAAGAAAGCTTATGAATTTGGCTTTTATATCATAGATTTTGAAAGTGCTACATGGAGAACTTCACTAAAACAATAGTCCCGACATTTGGGTTTCGTGTTTTGTGACTCACCCTGTATGTTAGCCCTAATAGCCATCTGTCTAGTAATATCATATCTGTCATATTGTGCTTGCTTACTTGTAGGGTGCCGGTGATCTTTCGTATATGGCACCAGACTGTTTTCACTTTAGCGCTAAGGGCCACGCTGAGACGGGCAAGTCCTTGTGGAACAATATGGTAAGACGCAACGGATGATTCCAAACCTTCCCCACAAAGTATAATCTTCTGTATCGGCATCTGTAGAATAATTCTGCAAACTCCTGACTATAGACCACGTGTCCTGTGACGTCATGCCTACAGGCAACCGCCGGGCAACCAAACATTTTAAAGCGTCTTTTGCATAAACCATTCACATTTCAAGAGGCACCCTACATGAAGTGCAGAAGAAAACCGTTTGCTGAAAGTAGCCATCACGTGACCACAGCATCCAATTTTTAAACAAATGTCACATTGACTTATGGATGCCCCACGCAGCTTCCGTCTATACCAGCTACGGCATTTAACCCTGTGCCAGGGGCCATCGTGCTGCCAATCTGTATATCATAGACGTGTTGCATCCAGTAACCGTCTTGGAGGTGTTTTCTTGTTATTTTTAAGTAGCCATGAACCCACAAGAAGTCTACCCAGGCATCCCCGTGCAACAAAACCAAATGCCTTTAAGATGGCTGCAATAAAAAGAACCCATTTATTGTTTAGTATTATTATATGGAAGTGACTCTCTGACGAAACATGGAGAGGAAATATCCAAATGTTTTATGACGCTTCACTCAAGTTCAAGCGCATGTAAAGTAGGCAATATCTCATGGATAGGCAAAAGGATGTATTCCTTCCACCCCCAATACTCAAGATCTCCCGTCATGTTGACGAGACCACTTGTATAGATCGCTACGTATGACAGGTCGCTACCGTCCTATTTAAAATACCATTTAATTTCAATGGCAAAACCTGTTCTCAGTGAGGGGGCTTTAATATATGCAAATTATTTATCCACACCCACCGAAAGCGAAATGTTGACGTTTCACGGAGAAATAACTTATTATTTCCAGTTGCTAATTTCGTACATCAATCTCGTCAAGTTCGTCATTTTGTTTGGTATTTTAGTTCCTGAAACGGTGTTCAAGCTTACCTTAACACCCGACAAAATTGCTCTTTTGCAGGTACAGCCAGTGGGCAGTAAGGCGACAGCATGGGTATTAGACGGACCATTCACTTGCCCAACCAAGGTAATACCATGTGACGATTAGTTGTCATTAGGTTTTGAACATCCTCCTCGTAGGAATCTATCTGTGCAGAGTTCATTCATTCTTTTTACGTCAGACTGTTTTGTTGTTTTTCTTGTGGTAATATCAGTACTGGATTCGTATGGAATGTAGTTTATCTGTACAGAAAACATATCAGTGGTTAGGGGTGATGATTCTGTTAGATGATGGAATAATTGTTATTTTGTGAAGCAGACGGGCACACACTGTCAGCGGCTGACAATCCTGAAATTTTCGCGCTTTACGTCCATTCCCGACGGTCGATAGAAACCAATCAACTCTCTCAACGTTTGAATTGAAACAACTTTTAGAATGTGGAAGGTTTTGCATTTGAATTGGTGTACAATTTTTTGGGTCATTATCGACATTTTAAAGGGAGCGAGTATATAGGTTGGATAACCTAACGAGCTGAACCACTCGATGCCTGTACCACCTTGTGTCATCCCCGCCCCAACTTCGCATTTCGGGGAGGCAAAAGGGTTTATTTGTTGGTAACAAGTGAAGTGACCCCTCCAGAGATACGGTCCCACAAGTGCCCCCCCCCCCCCCACAGAAATATCTGGGATTGTCATAGTTAATAGGTGCGGGATGAAACCGCCATATCCTCGGGGATGCCCCTGTCATGTCAGTGGACATCCATGTTCATCGGTACACATTTAAAATGATTTTGATTAATAACGTACATGAACATCGACACAGACTGTGCAGTCCGTCTTTGCGAAAACTGATCAGTCTGTTTTGACCATCAATCACAAATTGAAAATACTTTAAATCCCCACACCAAACAAAATAATCGAAGTTGACTGTTGTATTCCTCTTATGTCTTCAATAGGAATCGCCGTTTCTCTACACCAACGTAAACAGCAGGAAGGGCGCGTCATCAACCAAACGACCGGTGACGGAGAAGAAAGGCGGTGCAGTCACTGCGGACACTGCAGACGACGGGCCTGGCGGGGATGCTTCAGTATTCAGCCCTGCTCATCAGTTGGCACTCCTCGTGATCGGTGCCTTCGTCAGCATGTTCAACTTGTGTTAGTGTTTATTTTATGGCCTCCTTGCAAAACTACGGCAACTTCTAGTCTGACTATCACCTGCTCTCACCATAGCTGCTCTGAACGAAAGTCTGATATAGGTGCGCATGCCATACTCAACCCGTGCGCGCCATTCAATCGGAGCTTTCGTGAGTTAATAACATGCAAGAAACTGACTGTTCCCTGTTGATTGGTCGATAGCTATCAGCTGTGAGCGTGTTTGTTGGTTGGCATTCAGAATTTCAAAATTCAGGAATAAAAAGTCTAATAAAAAATAAACAGCGTAACTGCAATGATCTCTTTCGATTTGCATGTACATGTACATGTATATCATTCATATACACTGTCCATCGATCGTGTATGTATTTTCTTGAAAACAATTACTTGGAAGTAGATTTAATTATTATTTGATTTCCCATCCTTCGTTTGTAAATATAAAGAAATGTTTTGATAATTATGGTTTGTTTAGTCGTGAATGGGAACAGGGTAAAAAAAGTTATACATGTATGTATTAAAGGCTAGCGTACTTCAAAATGGTTTGTATCATATTGTGGTTTGCAGATGATCCTCCATTGACACCTTTGCTAAACCATGGGGCAAGACCAACTAAATACTGATGACCTTGCTATTATGTATTGATGACATTACTGTTGGAGAATATTTAACATGTTTTTTATGTATTTTATGTTTTCAATCATCCTGCAAAATTTTACAGTGCGTATTTATAATTATCAGATCAAAGGCATCTTGAATTTGGAATGAAGAAATTATTCTTCAATAAAAACAAAAATCCCCCGGAGATCTATGTTCTTTAAATTTTGGGAAAAAAGGAAATATTGTGACTGAATGATATTATGCGCTTAAAATTAGGTTTGGCTTTTCTGGCACATCTCAAGGGGGACGGGCAGCCGCTAAGACCGTTAAATGAAGAGCTACAAAAGCTTCTGCGGCGCCACGGCATGAATTACAAGCCAGATTCGCAGAAATAGCTGGTTGTTTTCATGAACAGATTCAAATCCGTGGAAGAGTGCATGACTGCGTTATATATTTCTATACTAGCCCATCGGGCAAGTTAAAGCGTGCGCTTTACTAGCCTGCAGCATGTTTTGCGCGTACACTTTGCTATAAAGATGTTCCCGATTGAGTAATAGTTAGTTGTTATTTCCCATGTGAATTAATACTGTCTTTGTAAATTGCCTTGGAGGTAGATTGGATTGATAGGCCTCGGCGGCGTAGCCAGGGTTCGACGACGAGTGGGGGTTCTACGGGGGTAAAGCCCCCCCCCCCCCCCGCCCCCTAAAAAAAAAAAAAATCCATAAAAAAAAAAAAATTGCACTGGCAAAATTGTAAGAATGTGACGTACATGCAAACCGGTCTCCCCCTAAATACATAGTTGTGAAGGGTGCATTTGTACACCTATTTGTACACCACACCTATTGATTTCCGGAGGCCTTAGTGTCCGGAGAAAATAACCGGTCTACGTTTCAGCACGCCTCCCTGAAAAAATTCTGGATCCACCCTGCTAGCCCCCAAAATATTGGCTCTAGAACCGCGCCTGGGGGAGGGGGGCATGTGGGGGGGGGGGGGGGCTTGAGGTTACAATGGAGGGGCGCCCAAAATTTCATCCGTGCTAAAAGGTAGTCAGGTTTTTTTCACCGGACGCTCGCCCTCCGTAAAATCAAATAGGGGGGGGGGGGGGGGCTGTTCAAAACGTATGTCATGGTTACATTAGACAATAACTATATATTCGCTTTCCAAGGGACGTTACAATCATAAACAGCCACTCGCGAAACAAAAACTTAAAAAGAGTTTTGGTAAAAGTTTTGCACAAAATCGCGGAAAAAGGGACTGTATGTTCTTCCATCATGGTAACTCATATGGCTGTGCTTTCTCCGGATGCCAAATTTTCAGGGGGGGGGGCGACTGGGGGTCGCGAAATTTTATGGGAGGGGGGGGGCGTGCGCCCCACAGAGCATATAGAATCCAAACTTTTTTCGGGGCCCTTAAGCGGGCCCCGAACCCCACGCCGTAATTTTTTTGGACACACTTTTTGGGGACCAACATTTTTTTTGGCCCCCCTCCCAAAAAAAATTGTGTTCTGGATCCGCCCTTGATAAAATGCGGCTATGTTCCGCTCGTGGCGTACTATGGGGTCACTTTTTGATGGGTGTGGCTATGATCAAGAAAATGTAATTTTGTTTATAAATGAACTGGAGAACAAGTGAAGAGGACTATAAGAACGGTACTGTTGTCAACTCATCCCCTATATCTCCACGGATGCGTGGAATATTAGTAAAGAGAAGGAAAAGAAAGAGGGGAGAGCACCCCCAGTGTCACATCGGGTCCAGTACTACCCCTCCCTCCATCCCTCCCCCCCCCCCCCCCCCCCCCCCCCAAATTCTCTGTCCGGACCCGGCCAAATTTCATGGCCCCACTAGGCCCCTATCCACTGGTGTTTTCACATATCGGAGATCGAACCTATAGTGTAATATCAATTTTCTTCACACATACACATCCTTCTGGACAAAGTTTGATTAAATCTGTTAAAAAGAAAATATTGGTTGAGTCGCATATACCATTCCTTGCTCTATGCACATACAGTTAAAAAAAGATGCACAGGTGCAGACGACAGGTGTGTCAATCAATTAACTGACCCGTCTGAATACCAGACTCCTTACATGTAGAAAAAAAATACGAACGCGACAGGACCTGACTAGACGTACATTGACAGTGTATCACGTGACCAAATGAACTGTGTACATGTTGTCGTTGGATACACAGGTTCACGTACCTAGTCGCATACGTGAATATTTTGTGGTTCAAAATTCAGTTATATTTGTTTTTTTGGAAGTTTTATTTTCGGTATTTCTGGTACAAGGCAGATCCAAGCAACATGGCCAGCTCGACTGAGGCATCTCGCTCCTACAGGCTGGAGTTGGAGCCACAAAAAAGGAGTGTTTTTGTCACACAATTGGGAGAAAGAGGGTAAATCGTTTGCCGTGCATTTCATGTTGTACTGTCATGACCGTCATGACCGTGCATAAACAATACGTGTAAAGACAGTGGATATTTTTCCGGCGCCGGCTTTCTTTTAGTAAACGTTATATAATAATAATACAAATTCACGAAGGCTTTCTCTGATTGGCGCGGCTCATATTTAATTATGTCATATTGGCTGCACCGGCTCTTTTGTTTAGTTCGCCGGAGTATTAAATCAACATGATCAAAGATCATTTTCTACCCAAAAAGCCGGCGGTGCCGATATGATAGATAATACTAAGACAAGATGAAATTAATTTTCATTTTAATATAACAAAAAAATATATATCAGCCAATCAGATCTGAGGAAGCCTCTGTGAAAAAAACGTTTACAAAAAGAAAAACTGGCGCCGGACAAATTTTCACTGTCATTCTATCCTCTATTAAACCTTTTTCATAAAGGTTGTGCCAAATTGAGTTATCTTTGTTCTGTAGTGGTGTTTCCTTACCTGGCGCACTTCAACGTTTACCCAGACTTTCCTCATGTTGTGTTGCCAACTGTCTTTGTTGACAAACTTCAAATTCATTCAGTGAAACACTTGTACTTTTACCTTATTATTATTAATGCTTGCTATTTAACCTCTGTGAACAATTTCGGTGTCATGAAAGTTAATCCGAAATTCAAAAACGGTGGTGTCCGGAAATTGGGCACAAAATCGGCAAAGTACGTGGCGCACTTGAATAAATCTTGAATAAATAACATTTAAGAATTTCTGTAAAGTAGATAAATTCTGATAAACCATTAATATCTCCACTTACATACCCAACAAGAAGTTTGTCAGAAAATATTTTTTTTTATTTTGGAGGGACATTTTCAAAGGGTTCACTGTGCACTTCGAAATAAAATTGAAAAATCACGCCAAAATAAATTTTTCTTCAAACTTTGTATAAACAGGTAGAAAAATCATGATTTCTGAACGGGAGTGTTTAGAACTTGATGAAATTTCACTTTCTGTGAAATTTTAGTTCAAGTTTTTGCTCTAGCTATGTGCTACAGGCGAAAGATCAAAGTGCCCCACGTTAGGGGCCGCATCAGGTAACTCACGTTAGGATACATCAACAATGCATTCTACACGTATGCAAATGCCTGCTGATAACATAAAGACAAGATGAAATTATTTTTCATTTTAATAATAACAAGCATAGTACCTAAACCTGTTCTCCTCAATTTTTTGGAATCCAATTTAACAGAGATGATGAGCATGACCGTGAAGAAGAAGATATCAATAAGTACCCGATTGTCAAAGAGGTGAGACTCGGTGTTGAGTAAATGTATCATTGGATTCATCCTTAAATTATTAGTCTTCAGTATTCTTGAGTACTGGAGCCTGGAGTCAGCTCAAGCCATAAAACTGTGGGGCCCAGCTAGCGAGGCGGAATTGATATTCGCTATGTGATCTGGTGATAGGCCTATAGTTATGCACTATTACGGAAAATTTTGAAATCTAGATGTTCGTGATCTGAGGCAATTTCTGACCACTTTAACCAATTGTTTTTTGGAGGACAAGATGGTGGTGTTCACAGTGCCTGCCTTAATTGCGACGTCACTTAAAAAAAAGATGAGTTCGCTTTTTTTGGGGGGGGGGGCATGGCCCCCTCCGCCCGCTGTTGATCTAGTGGTGGTGAGCTCCATTGATTTTTATTTCCCCAAATGGCAATATTTTCCTTCACTGTTTTGCCACTAATGTTCCAGAGGACACTAAAACTGGTAACAGCCGCTGTTAACATGGGGTTTTAATACCCATGAAAGTGTAAGTCAAAAGAAAGCATTGGACTCTTGCACAGTGGGAGATTATGGAGGCTTTGGGAGGGCTCCCAGTAAAAATGCCTGTTTGGGTAAAACGTACAGTATGTACATGTACCTATCAGACTATCCATATATAATCCCCATTTTGGTTGTATGTAACCCCAGTCGGCAGGCAAGCTGATAGAGACCGGCCTGAATACCATGCAGAAGACCCTGCTGCTCAAGAGGGAAGTAGAAGTCGACAAGGTGACCCTGGAGCTTCAGGCCAAGCGGGAGAGTTTCCAGCGGCGCATGGAGGAATGCGAGAAGAAGAGAATCGAACTACAGAAGAAGCAACAAAGAGTAAGTTATAATCACATTATACCAGAGGGCAACTCCAGTGTCACGAACATTACATTACATGAACATGTATTTTTCAAGTCTAGTAATAGTCAAGGAGATTACAGAGTGGGGATTTTGGATCATTTCTCTGAAATCATTAATACATATCACGTTTTGCTAGGATCAGTAAGCCATTTGCAAGTGATCTATACCCTTTGGGATTTAAATTTGAAAAACATCTGGTACACTGACTTGCTCAGAATGCTTGGCACATTTTAACTTTGAATTCTCCAGACTAAAGACACTGTTGCTAATCACATGATTCGGGGCAAGCTCTTGCATACATACGTAAGAGACGCTCAGCACCAATACATTGTTCAAAGGGGGGTGAGAGTGGCACAAAGACACCAGACCAGGCCGGAGCTGGGGGTTGCTAGTGTAAGGCTTGCCCCGAATCATGTGATAAAGTAACAGTCTCTTTGGTCTGGAGAGTGCAAAGTTAAAACGTGCAAAGCATTGGATTAAGTCAGTGTTCCAGATTTTATTCAAATTTAACTTGCAAATGGCTTATTGGACAAAAAGGAAATAGCACAATCAATATTGAGCATGTAAGAAAGCACTTATGCAGTATGAATAATCTTTCCATCTTATGTCGTTATTTCCATTGCGATCAAGATGAAAGATAGAGTCAGCAAGTTTGACAAGTTCATTCAAGAAACGGAGGCAAAGAGGCGCCGAGCAATTCACAAATACCAGACGGAGTTGAAACTGAAGGACCAGAAACAGTCGGAGTATGAACTGCTGTTGGAACAACTAGAAGACCTGAAACTTGTGTAAGGAGACTTAAGACAGATACCCTGGATGCCCAACAATGTTGTAGTCGAGTACTTTTTTCCAAGTACCGAGTACTGCCGAGTACTTAGGTTACCGAGTACGAGTACTTGTACTTCCGAGTACAAGTTCAGGTCTCCGAGTACGAGAACTAGTACTTCCGAGTACGAGTATGAGTACTTTGACATTCGAGTACGAGTACAAGTACTCAAAAAAAGTACTCGAGTAGCACTCGAGTGCGAGTACCGTGTACGAGTACTACAATACTGATGGCCAATACCCGGCCTTAAACAGCGGTTACCTGGTTCCATTTTTTTCTGTTTCCATTTATCTGACATGACCTTTCTGAAAGTTAAAGACACATTTTTGATTAGTTTTTTATTTTATGTTTTTGCATCCAAGGAAAATGATCTGACTATAGTTGATGACCACTATGGATGGATATTTCCTTTTTTCCTGGCTTTAGAGGAGACTTAGTGAAAGCTGACCTTGTCTTTGAGTCCATTTAACTACAATACCTGACATTTCAGTTCTGAAAATAACTGTAAAGCACACGCACTCTTATATTTGTGTGCACTTTGTGGTTTTTATGGGTATAACTTTAGACTGCAATGCAGCAAGAGAGTTTGGCTTTACAGAGACAAATAATATTGAATGGCTTTACGGGGATACAAGAATATATTGTTATAGTGAGTGCAATATATTCTTGTATCCCCTGAAAAAAGCCATCCAACATTATTATTATTATTTATATTAGGCTGACGAGCTTGATCCGCAAGAAATACATTTCAGGACACTGCCTTCATTTCTCGAAGCTGCCATTGTGGCTGTTGACAACAGTGCGCATATTATGCGCTGCGACGCGTGCCGCACGCTCACTCTGTTGACTGGTTGACTGTGACTTTCTACACTCTAGATTGTGCGGGAACCAGTGAAAATGCCCGGGTGACTGCAATATCAATAATATTGCAGTCATCTGGGTACTTTATTGACATAATATTGCAGTCATCCGGTACTTTTTACGAAAGCATACGATACGCTGATTGATTTTTACCACTGGAAATTACGTCATGTAAAAGGCATTTTAGGGGTGGTTGGGGAGGCCAACCTCACCCCCTCCCACCCCACTCCGCCTTTTCATTTGCTCTTAAATTATTTGTTGAACTTTTTGAAATTATTCTTTTCAAATTTGACACTGTATCACATCCCTTATCATACAGCCTCGGACAAGATTTTGTTGCTCCATAATCAAGTCATCATTGATCATCATTAGCAGTCATTCTTCCATGCATACAATCATGCATTATGACATAGTTATTGATATAGGATATTTAACATTGTTTCAATTTGAGCCTGACTTTTTTAGGTTTTTCTTTCTGGTTGATCCTTTGTTTCTTTAGACACAAAGAACTTTGTACAAAACTGCAGAGGCACAAGAAATATGAGGACTACTTGATGAGAGTTCTGGATGAGATCCCAGAAAGTATGTACATGTATCGTGGATTTTCCTGAAATTGGTGTTCAAAGTATAACTGTTAGCTAATATAGATCAATCCGGGCACATCAATCTATGAAGAAGGTCCCTTCAGTGGCAAAACGTTGTGCTAGCTATTGTTCAGATAATCCATCATAGTAGTTGCTTTGTACAATAGCATGCACAATGGTTTCTCCATTGAAGGGGGCCTCGTCAGTGTACAGTGATCACATGCCTGGATTTGTCTGTAGGCTGAGAGTGTACAGGCTGCGTCAAAAAATAGCAGAACCCAAGCCCCAAAAATTATATTTCATATTTAAACAAATGTGTAGCGCCAAAAATAAGAATGACTGGAAAGCCAATTTCATAACTACTTTTTAGATGAAAAAAATACTGAAATTTGTCAATCCATTCAGAAAATATCACCATTTAAACACAATGACCCTAAAACCTGTCTCGTACAAAAATAAAATGCGATTTCAAGAATCGTCGTCGCAATTGTCTTCAAACATCACCATCGATAAAATCTCAGTTTAAATGTTAAAAGTATTCAACAGAATCCCTTTGAAGGCCTTTCCTTTAAAAAAGTACATTTTTATAAATCATATTGTTTGCCATACAAGGGTTGTTAAAAAAGATATTGTGTTCATTGTACTAAAGTTGGTGACAGTTGTTGAAACAAGTATTCTGTGTCATTGTCTTTGTTGTTCCAAACAGTCAAAACACACAATGAATTGCTTTTTTTTTTGACGAGACAGGTTTTAGGGTCGTTGTGTTTAAATGGTGATATTGTTTGAACGGATTGAGCAATTTCAGGAATTATTTCACCTAAACGTAGCTTATGAAATTGGCTTTCAAGTCATTATTATTTTTGGTGCTACATGTTTTTTTTTAAATATGAAATATATTTTATGGTGTTTGGGTTCCACTTTTCACCCTGTATTAAAAGAACCTAGAAAATGTTTTACTCTCCAGAAAGGTAGTCAGTGCGCCAGGTTCAATCTTGTATGGCAAGTGTAGAACCTATAAAAACTGTCATAAAGAAGAAAAGGTAGTACTAGCTGAGTTGCAGGGAACAGAAAGAAATGCAGGGAACACAAAAAATTGTGATTTAATTGTGTATGCACTGTGTATCCTAGCTGATCATACCCAAAGTAATTGATGGTTTTTTTTGTAATGCCACATATTTTAATGCTCCGGTCTGGTTTCATCAACATTTTGAACTCGTCCAGTAAGATTTTAATCCAATGTGGTGCCTGCAATTAATCATTGATTTGTATTGGTTTGTGTTTGCCCTTTCTGACCAGACTACTTGGAAGTCAACGATTCCATGCTGCGTAGTCTAATGGACCGGCATCGTACGTTGAGCGCAACCAATCAGGCGCTGATAAGCAGGGTTCAAAACGTGTCCGACCAAATCGACACCGACAACCAGTTGCTGGAAGAACTCAAGTACACTCATGACCAGAAAAAATTGGTGAGTCGAAATGAACTTTTAATAACCAAAAATAGAGGTACATGTACATCTCTGTTTTGATATTTTTAAGGTTTGGAACAGTTGTCGTGTAGAGAGAAACTAATTCACAAATTGAGCCAACAATACCAAAGAAGAACCGCTGTGTGTTTCCTGATCGATTATTAAACAAATATACAAATCACGAAACACAAAACATGCATGAACATGGTTATTTCAATATGCATACTTATAAGTTTTATTTGAGTGATAAATGCTTTTTGGTTTTTTTCAATGCATCTCAAAAATGCATGAGTTCACAAATTTTGAAAATCACAAAACAAGAAGCCTACACAACATTTAAGTTAATATATATTTTTTTTTTGCACCTCTTGTAAAAAGTATCTAATCATAACGTGTTTGTATTCCATGTAGATTTTAAAAGGCAAAGCATAGCTGTATCAGGTTACATAAACAGTCACAGCCAGTCAATCCTGCTTTATGTATGCTGGGAGCTCTTAACTGTTAAAAACAGTCACTTGATTGATTTTGACTGAAAGGACAACTTTGCACAGAATGTATGTTTGCATAGTTAAATGGCTTTTACCCGATGATGACACTTCTCCACGGTTGTTTCCTTTGCTAGTTGATCAATCGTCAGCTTGCTGAGCTTCAGAGCAGGCAGGAGGAAGTGACAGAATCAAATTCTCAGTTAGAGGAGATCATCTTCAATGAGTTGAACAGCTACAGAGACCATGTAAGTAAAAAAAAAAACAAGCTCGATCGGAAATATCTTGGAAGCTGCAGGCCAACGAATTCATGTTCATGCATGAGTCATGTGATTGTGCCATGTAATTTTCCGGAAGGAGTAGTGTTATGAGAAAAAAAAGTAAAGTGACCCCATGACCTTTGACCCCAGTTTGGTCATGTGACATGTTGGTTCTTGGCTACTGTTACTTTTGACAAAGTTTGGTTGAAATCGGTCAAATATGTAGGAGCAATAGACAATGTCAACGTTTGTTACTAACTAACGGACTAACGGAGAGACATGATGATTTGTTGAGCTGCTATATATTCCACAGCTCATAAAACCTCTACCGAGTTACTTTGCTTATAAAAATTATTTTAAAAAATTCAATTTCCATTCCTTCTTATTTCAAATAATTCATTGTTTCAGAATTTCTGGAAACATTTCTATTATATATGAACGTAAACAGTGTGAATAATTTTTGTGAAACCACTTCAGTCTTACAACGTTGAGGCTTTAATCTGTTATCTTTAATTTCTTATCCAGAAGAAACCAAAAAAACTGAATTGTGATGTAACATGTTTTGTGTTTGTGCATTCTTGCCACAATGAAATGAAAATTATTGGTTTTCTTAATTTTTCAGAGTGAAATACTTGGGAGAACCCAGATGGCCATTAATGACATAGCAGACAAATGCCACAAGAAGCACGACCCAGCCCTGGATTCATTGACGTACATTGAGAAGCTTCATCTTATCATGGTAAGAATAACAGTTGTTAATTTCTCTTTAGGACTCTCACATACAGCTATTATTAGATTACCAGAGTGCTGACTCACCGTTCAAGAGTATATTACATGTAGCCTACTACTAGGTGCATCCATGTTTGTGCACAAGCCTCGGCAGGGACAGTTAAAAAAATGTTTCGCAGCTTTTGCGTGCCTACTTGCGTATCTGCGTTTGTATTCAAAACTGATGTGTAAGTGAAGCCGATTCCAGATGAGAAGTGAAGCAAATCTACATGTATTTTTTTAGGATGTGGGACTGAGTGTGTGTACACCTTTTCAGCAGGTTTATGAATGCATGCATGTGTGCACAAACTTATGCCTCTTCACAATGTGTTAATTGTCCATCATCTCTCTTTCTCGCCATTGAAGTGTACGAGAATGCCATACAGTGTAATTGGTCACTTTGTGGTCCTCCTAAAGGCTTGTTCCCACTCGGCGGAAAAGCGAATACAAGGAAAATGTGATGTCACCAAATACATTTATAGTGAAACAAACTGGAGTTGAACTGTTCAATTGTTGCACAACTGCTTGTCGTAATGTCCCAATACACATTAACTTTTGCACCAGGAATGAACCTGCTTTGTTACAAGCGTGGACGAACCATGACTGTTAATCTGTTTTTCTATTATTTATATTTTGCTCAGTTGTTCACAATGGACCTGATTTCAATTGAGAAGATGGCCAGGAACATGAGTCTGGGATCACGGATGCGCAGGAAAAGTAAGAGCTCCGGTAGCGCCACTGGCTCCAAGGCTAGCAGGAACAACACAAGCATGGGCTCAACCACGCAGAAGAGATGAAATTAATAACGCTGGCGTGTGGATACTGTACACAAGGACTCCAACGGCAGCGACAAAAGGAGACATGTGTCAGACACTTCAATGCTGTTACCGCCGTGCTCAAGCAAAGACGCTGTTGGCTTGTACATTTTGATGAAACTTAGTCATGCATACTTTGTGCCATATGAGCATGAAGCAGGATGGATCCCACACAGTGGAGCTCTGACGAGTGGTCACACAGCTCCTTCTACTCCATAATATAGTCAGAACGTACTTACCATCACCAAGTATGCATGAACGTCCAAGTGAATGCAGCCTAGCCTCATCTCTAAAGGCAGAGAGATGGTGAGAGGGATCATTTCACCAAGAGTGACTTTTTAAAGATGTGACCAGTCAAGATCCATGAGGGAGGAATCAAGATCCAGAGTGGGGAGGAGGGAAGCAGGGTCCTGACGTTTGGTTAATAATTCTATTTTAGCAAAAATTGAAGCTTTCAACCCCACTTAAGGACTTTTTAAATCCTTGGCTTCAGCTCCAGGTTCATGTCTAGTTTCAAAATCACACCTTGAGAAAAATCCAAGATCTCTTCAAGTTCTTGAGGAATACTGTAGATGCTGAAGCAGCTGAGGACTGGAGGAATAATCTACATGTATTTGACCATCACGATTAGCACACAGTAAACTTGAACAATGTTTTGACTGAATCTGTAGTCATGTGCAGTGCAAGGGAAGCTACATGTATGTGTCATTGGTGCATGTATGAAAACCCCCATTAAAAACTTTGCATTGTGGTAGTGTATACTAGTCAGGTTTGCGGTAACACTGTGTGTCATAGTCTCTTTTTGAGAAGAAGTGTTGTTCTGAAAAGAACCTTTTGGTTGTGAAACTCGACATTCTGATCAGTATGCTCCAATTGTAATGGGGTGCTATTGTCTCTCCTGAAGACGATCAGAACATACTGATTGGAACGTCGAGTTTCACAACCAACTGGTTCTTTCCAGAACCACACTTCTCAAAAGACATTATTCCACATGGTGTTACCGCAAACCTCACCAGTAAAACCCGAAATTGTTTTTGACGTCTCCCAGTGATAAGCATTCTAATATAATAATAGCCTTGGTCAAGGCGCTAGTTGTTATTCATCCCGGCCGTAGCGCGGTAAACTCGCTAGCGCTATGCATGCGGTGCTAAGTACAGCGCGAACAGCGACCTCACGCGGCCACCATTTTTATGCAAATCAGTTGGACCTAATCTAGCGCTTTGGTTCAATCGTTGGCAAAAGCTTATGTTTTTCTTTATTTTGCACTGGATTTCTAGCGCACGACCTCATATGCGAATACATATAAGTGTAGGCGGGGCTAATATGTGGAGTGTCCAATCACACCTTGGTAAATCCGGACGTAATCAAATTATTTGCAGCTATTCGCCTTTTGCGGACGTGACAGGAACCACAGTTTTTGTGCATTGGTGCCGTGTGCAGAGACACACAACGTGTACGTGTATGGATTATGTACGGTGCCACGTTTCACTATGCAAGTTTCCACGCAACGATCGACCAATATGAAAACGACATTTATTAAGGTCAGCTAAGGCTATTAACATAATGAGCACCACCCCCAAAACCTCACATGGACGATTGAACCAAGGCGCTAGATTGGGTCCAACTGATTTGCATACAAATAGTGGCCGCGTGAGGTCGCTGTTCGTGCTGTATTTTTAATGCACTGCATGCATAGACATATGACTGCATGCATAGCGCTAGCGAAGATATCGTTTACCGCGTTACGGCCGGATGAATAACAACTAGCGCCTTGACCAAGGCTAATATAATAACCACATATATATTAAACAACTTTAGCTTTTGGTGCCTTTTCAACTTGTGGACGCAGATTTGTGTGGATAAGTATTGCTGTGCTGTTCATCTTGGCTGTGTTCATGAGTTGCTGGACACCTGGGATCTACATGCGTACTGTTTATATTTTTCAAAGCAAATCCGAGTTAAAATCATGCGATGCACAGAAATTTGTCAATAACCAAATATTATTTTCAATGGCATTTAATTTGTACAAATATTTATAAACATATAAACTAAATATCAGGTGCACTAGTGTAATTTGTTTTTGTTCATAAGGCCGATTCATATATGAGAATGTCATACTACATGAGAAAGTTGGTGCAAAACGATGACGTCATGAAATTCGCTTTACATTTGCTTTGCATTTGCTTTGAAGTACATGTAGTATGTTTTAAATGTAGGTCAAAATCATGTCACTCAAATGGGCTAATAAAACTCAGAAAAGAACCATTAAAATATTTGAAGATGTCAAGTCATTTTTAAGTGCATTTCAAATTCTATTCCATTATTTTTCCCGAAAAAGCACATTTTTGTGTAATCTCGATTTGCAAGAAGTTGAGACTTTTGACAAAATATTTGTTGTAATCTCAAAATATATAGAATCAACTGAGCTGACACTTCAGAAATTAGTTATGTCTTAAGATTTGGAGCCATTTTATTGCTTCAAGTAAAAAGAAAAATTGAACAATTAAACAAAAAAGCAAATGGGCCTATGCACCTTTCATTGTCCTTCCCCTGCAGTATATCAACAAAAACACACAAGTACAGCAAGAGTACTGTTAGAGGGAAATTGCGTTAAAAGTCTGTTGAGCTTGCCTTTATTCTCACAGATTTGAAACCAGAATGCATTTTATTACACCAAGGTGCAAATGAAATTCTAAAAATGTACACTTTTGCACTGATTTTGCCTGAATTAGTGTATTCCTGTGCATTAGGGGGAGGATCTAGGCAGAGGGGGACAAAACAACTCTTGTTTGCATGCAACATCGCCAAAGTTTGTATTGCTATACATGTATAAATATTAAAGAGGTTGTGGAATGCTCGAAAACATTTCCGTCATATTTTGAGTATATGTAGCCTAAGGTGTGATGAAAAAAAAAACGACTATTGTTTCTGTCATGAAATGAGTACAAAGGGTACTTTTGAGAGCTATTTTTCAGGTCCTGTTTCGACCCGAACGTGCAATTTGTGTAAAAGTCGTCGTTGCGGGCAGCAAACAAAACACAGTAAATCGTGACGTAATAAACAGGACTCGTTTATGCTTCTCTGCATCGGGAAAAACAGCTCTTAAAAGTACCTTTTGTACTCATTTTATGACAGAAACAATAGTCGTTTTTATTTCATCACACCTTAGGCTACATATACCCGAAGAATGACGGAAATGTCTTCGAGCATTCCACAACCTCTTTAAAATGGCTTAATAAAGCCAAGGTTTGAGATTCTCTATATCTTCTTAAAGTACTGTTAAAGAAACCAGCAAGGGTGGGGGTTTCACCCCTCCTTTTGCAACCAAAGATCCACCATTTTTATGTGTAAATGTTTCAACCATTCATCTAGTGTACAGCCAATTATACTACAGCAGTTGTTAAAAACACACATACATGTAGGTCATATACAAGTTACACCGGAAAGAATGTTGCAACCTGACGCCACTTTTTTTCCTTCATATATCATCTCAATGAAGGTCAGTCATTGCAAAAAAAGATAAGACATGAATCTGGGACTGAGAAACATTTCCAATTTTGTTAGGAAATACTTAGAAAATGTTCTTGACTCTCCATAAACTTTGTACACAACCGCTGAAGTGGCGTCAGGTTGCAACATTCTTTCCGTTGCACCAGAATGAACATGGATATGACAGGCATGCAACGTTTCCATGGTTCAGCTGATTTCATCGTTTTTCACTTCACACTTATGCCATCAAAATTGACGTAAAGTCTTGTAAAGCTTGGAAAAAGCTTTCTGTTCCCAGCTGCATGCCTGATATGATTGGAAGTATGAGAAGGTACATTTAATTTATGAATACGACGACAGTAACGTAGCCCGGCCTTGATACAAGTTGAGAGTCAACTTTTTGTCCATGAATACAAAGTACTTGAATATGAGTTCTACATGGAGATGAACAGTGATAGTAATCACTAACCATTTAATAACAGACTTCTTCTTGTGACATAGTAAAACTTGCCTCCCGAGGTGATCCCTAGAGCACACTATTTTCCAGGGGGAGGATGGTGAGTTCAAATGGATGATTTACGTTCAATGTATACAGTATTGAATCAGGCCATTCATAATCATTCTAAACCGTACCCGATGCTGTTTGACCTGAACATCTAAACTCTACTAAAGAATATTAAACACAAAACCACTGGTCCCTGAGTTTAAAAACTAAAAATATATACATTGTATGCACACAAAAATATTACAGTAAAATTAACTGACAAAAACTTATTTTTTTTTAAGTTAACCTAGAATACAAGTAGGCTCTATATAGAGGCTACTGCATAGCTTATGTCGTGAAAGTGACGGCACTTGCATGTATCAAGGGTGCATGGGATTGGGGGAAGATGGAAAAATCCACATAATAATCAGCTGAGGGTCACCGAGGACCCCAGACCAACATAGGGTGTAAGGTATATGTTAAATTTGCCTAAAGATCCCTAAAAATACCAATTTCTTTTGTTCTATATAGAATATTAGAAACATGTTAACGGTAAAAATTCAGGAATTCCAGATTACAAAAGGATTCTTAAAAAATCCTGAAATCTGGAAAAATCCTGAAACAAAATTTTGACATCAGGAAAAAGCTGACAAATTTAATCCCAACTGATTCACTGGTTATTATGTACCTGAACACTGTACTAGTCGCTCGTTATTATTCAGTATTTACTGCATACCACAGGAGTGCCCTTGGCAATTTGTATAATCACTGGCATATATGGGTGGCTACCTAGTTGTACATGCAGCCAACTGCTCAAAACGCAATGATTTAAAGAAGGAACTAGGCATTTTTATAGTGCTCGTTCAAATGACGTCATTTCCTACAGACCATGCCACGTGCATCAGCATTTTGAGCGTGAACTTGCGCAACGCGCATCGGCTGCGTCGTTTATCGAACACATTTCGAGCAACAAGCGCGCGTGTTTGGAACATTTTCAACACTGCGCAATGCGTGCTTGATTGCGTAAAATGCGCAGTTGCTGTATAGAGATGGCTAGCTGTCATTGAGTGAGCCCTATTGCCATGATGTTATGTGCAAGGCATCATATGCAGGTTTTTTTTAGTGGACAGAACTTATTGCATACAGTGCTGCTACACTTTGGACCATTTTTTGGACAAAGCAACCTGCAAGCAAACAATGCCTCACAAGCATATACTGCACCTGCACTAAAATTAAGGCTACTAACCTGCAATGACCACACATCTGTCAACGTAAAATGAGGCAAATTTTGTGAGTTTTTGGTTTCAAATACACTACCCCCATCTTTCTTTCTTTTTGAAAGCTCATTTTACCTGAACTGTATCAGGATATGAAATTCCAATATAAGGTTCATATGCAGGATTTACATTTGTTGTAGCCTAAGTGTCTGTCTACTGCTTGCTGTACAGAACAACTCTAAGCGAAATGTCATTGAATGTTTGGCAAGGCTTAAGGCACTTGGTAAAAGTCTGCACTTTATTCTACATGTACTTTTACGACTTCTAATTCTACTGATTGCAGATGCTTTGACAAACATGAACTAACATACAATGACAGTTAAATCAGAAGAAACAATTTAGACAAGATAAGGTCCCGTACATGAATCAAATAAACTGTTCAACAAATGTTATTGCTGCAGGGGAATAATGTACTTACATGAACATAAGATGAACTTCTCATTTAAGCTGAACTTCTGAAGTGAATAACGTACAAATCTACAAATAAAAAATCTACAAATGTACGTTTCCTTGATGTCAAAGTTTTCACATTATTTCAATGTATTCAATAAACGTATTAAACAGTATGGTGATCATTTAAAGTTGGAAGACATATCACAAGAGAAATATCAATTCTGCAGTTTAATATGTTTGCAAACAATAGTAAAGCTTTAAGCCAGATTCCATTATGAGTTAAAGTTTGATTTAAAAAGTATCTCTATGGAAATCACATTTAAAAGTTCATATTTTAGTAATATTCCAAACTAAAACCTATTTGATCCATAAATATATTATATCCTATTTTTTACATATGTGGTAAACGTTAAAAAACAAATTACACTTTTATCTACATTTTTCATGCTATGATTTCAATCGAACTAAGTAAATGTATTGAATACACGAACAGCCAAAATTACAGAACATGGTGAAATTTACCATTATTTTGTCAGCAGCTAAAACCATGCATTCTACAATCTAAATAGCAGTTAGCCTTGAATACGGTGTATGGGTTGACATTATGTGCTGTTAAATTTGAGTTTGCTTTTTTTTCATGAATTTTCACATCGACCTTTCTTTTTATCGAGGTACTTTTATGTTAAAATTTTAAAGCAAAATAAACGGACACTGAATGTTCTTAAAATGGACCATCTTTGAAAATGGAAATTTTAGAGAGGGGTAGGGAATTGGAAATGAAACTATAGCCCCTTTTTTATGCACAGAGTTTACTTTCAACCAACATGCTCCTAACCATGACCCCCAACAAATTTTCTGCTGAATGCCATGGTCCAGTGGTTAGTATTTGACTCATGTACGATGGTGCGTGGGTTCGAACCCTGTCAGGAACATGGTGTTTGTGCCCTTGGGCAAGACACTTAACTACAATTGCCTCTCTCCACCCAGGAGTATAAATGGGTACCTGTGAGGGCAGAGGACCGAATGTGCGCTGAAATCCGCTGCTGCGTGGTCCCATGGCCTAACGAACGGGGGAAAGCACTTTGAGATTGTTGATAGGATGGAAAGCGCTATATAAGCATTACAATTAATCTTTTTAATTATTATTTGCTGAATCTTCCAAAACCCACCAACGACATATGCTTTGTACGGTACTTAGTTTTTAGAGACATAAAATCCCATGTCAAGTGCTAAAAAAAAAACCTCAAAAAACTCTTTGCAGATTTTGAAGGTTTAGGTTAGTTTGCTTCAAATTTCAAATGTACTAATGTCGACATTTTAACTAAAATATCCATTAGATTGCATGATTCTTTGCTACTTTGTTCATGTAGAAAAACAAGAAAAAGACAAAACCTTTCATACATACATATATGCTGAATATACCCTGTCCTATTAAATACTGCTTTTTATTTACAAAATATTTACAGAAATGCTGATTAAAGTGTCCCTTGTCCATCTTCCGAACTATTTCAAAAAAAAACACCCAATAATCAAGGTCTTAGTTGTGATCAAAATTACCAATTTTCTACATGGGTCTAATTTTAGACATGTATGCACAGTAGTGTAGCGAGAAATTTTGGATTGAGGAGGGGGGGTTTAACCAAGTTTTTCCTTAAAATTTCATTTGCCGGATGGCCACGTTGATGGTTTAAACCACGTCCGCGCATAGTGCACCACATGCAAGCAGGCCATGTGCAGACAGCACGTGCAGCGCGTTGATTAGATGGGCGGCTTTACTCCTCCCTTTTCTCCACCACTTTTTTTTTTTGGTCATGGGGGGTTGAACTGCATGTAGTTCTTAATCAGATTAATGCCTTCTTGCTTCAATAGTGATTTTATAAAGCAAAATATCTACCCAACAAATAAAAAAATAAAAAACTTGGTTTTTTAGGATACATGAATGGCAAATACAATCAGTGGTAACAGGGATATGAAAACTGTCACACTTTGGACTCTGAATTAATAGAATGACCCACAAGCTAAGCACTGACTTTTGCTATGTACAGCTTTACTGTTAATGTCTGTTGCACAATTTGTTAGTGAAAGCACACACATGTTTATCTGCTCCTCACCATCAGGCTCTGTGAGGATTGCAAGCTGCTCATCTTTCCACAGTGTCATAGTCCAGTCCTTTTTCCTCGAGTACGTGAATATGATGATAAACAGCTGGTATTTACTCCGTTCACAAGTACCCCCTCACCGGCAAAGAAAGTACAGTTGGGGGTGACCGACCGACACCATCTTGCCTGACTGCAATTTTGCCACGACGCGCGGCCGTACCACTGCGCGTACATAGTACAAATCCCCTGGTGTACTTGTGTCACACACAAGGAACGGTGCGCGTCAACCAGCTAAATGTCCCACCCATGGGACGTCGTTGCTAGGTAAAAGGGCGCCCTCTTTCGTTGGCACACTGAGCCCATATAGTAGCATTCAATACTAAATGCTACAGCTACATATGTACAAATGTATGTTGACTGGTTGATCTGAAGGAGTAGGAATACATGTCTTGGCATTTTAACACACAACTGATGACACAGGTATGGAAAATGTCAACAACAAAATTACAAAAGGAATTAGGCTGGGACACGAGTCAGAGTCCTTATGTGAATATTTAGACATTTTGGCAAACCTTTTTCCCAATTACCAACAACCTCGATGTCAATTTGTTAGGGTAATGGTGAATATCACAATGGATTTTCAATGAATTTTGCGTCATGAAATTTGATTTGATTTGCTTTGCTTCCCTTTTTATCGCTTTCGCTTTTGTGAGAAGTATGTACCGAACTTCACCCGTAAATATCAACCAAGTACTCATATCTCATTTCCAGGCTTAGTCCTTCTACATCAACTGTGCGTGACATGGGAGGCACATTGTGTAAAGCGCTCGCCTCTCACCACTGTGGACCGGGTTCGATTTTAGGCTCAGGTCATATGCGAGTAGAGTTGTTCGTTGATTCTCTCCCGTGCCACGAGGGTTTTTCTCCAGGTTCTCCGGTTTTCCTCCCTCTGCAAAAATCAACACTTTCGATCTCTGGCTGTGCTCCGTAGTCAGACATGGGTCGTATGGCGGCTGCCTAATGCGCCTTTGTAGCTGCATCCTTCGCAATTCAGATTCTGCTGCGAGTAAGGATGTTAGTCCACCAAATTTACTTATTATTTATTTCATATTATTTATTGCAAGACCTGGACAAAGGACCCGACTACAGCACTGCGCATACCAATCAAACCTTGGTCTCCTTGTTCTGTTGCTGCAATGCCTGCTGCTGCATCTGTTTGGAGTACAGCAGCCGTCGCTCCATCTCCCTCAGCAGCGCTTGCCTGTAGGCCTCGTAGTCCATCACCACGTCTTCCAGGTCCTTCTTGTAGAGTCGGGACAGCATCCCCTGGTAGGCGTCTAGCTCCTGAAGGCGGAACAGGTCCCACTTCAGCTTGTGGTCGTGCTCTGACGAGGCCTTGTAGTACACGTCCAGCCACTTGGGGATTTCTGTCAGAATGAAACAGTTGGAAAGAGAACGGCTCAAATGCCACATACAAATCTACTAGACTATGCATTGGGGCCCACGCAATGGTCAGAAAGAGACAGGCATACTGTTCAATGCCCGTTCTTACACATTCAATTTTAAAGCTACAGTCCATCATTTGCAGCTATCAAAAAAGTAACTGACAAAATTATCGTTGAAAAGCATATTTGGTTTAAAGATAATAATTGGACTAAACTCCCTGTGAAATTATCCTTTCTGGCAAGCTGTCATTTTGAAGAAAACAATGAAAGAAGGCCATATCCAATGTTGCATCTTAAGACGCATTTTTGGGAAATTTCCGTTAGTAGTTCTTTTTTAATTCGGCGAAGCGCATGCAAGTGTTGACATGACGCGCATGCGGTTGCTATAATTCGTCGGTTCAGTGCACGACATCACATAGCTGCAATTGGCTGAAAGAGAACGTGTCCCAGATGCTGAATTCGGGCGCAATGCAAAACATGACTAGGCAACTTTTGATTTCAAATCGAAATCCTAGAGTATTGTTTTTCTCGTTTTTCTCAGCATTCACTGAGCTGAAATTCATCAGGTTAGTTGTTCAGCACCCTTCTTTAGATTTTGAGCACTTTCATTGCTTCAAACGAACATAATGCACAAATTGCAAATGATGAACTCTACCTTTATATCGGTTGTATGTGCTTCAAGCTATACATGTGCAATCCAGTGTGGGCACGTGTTTTTTCCCACAAGTGGGGCTCTTTTGATTGGTCAAAAGCGCCATTTGCAGTTTTTGCACAGAGTTCATACTTCTAGCAGCTCAAAACTCAAAACTTTCCCACGACCGAAAGTATTTCACAATGACTGGTGACAACGCAAGGACATATCGTTTGCTATCGAACAAGGTGTTGATTTGGAAATGTTAAGACTTAGAAATTTACAAGAAAGCACTAGTCCAGCACTTATCACTGGATTTGGTCCGGAAGTCGAATATCCAATGGGTATTTCAATCCATGCTGAAATGTTGTCATGTTCTCATTAATGATCACATGTCAATCCCAAGTCATCCAGTCCCATGTTTTTTTGTTCTGTTCATACTCTGTTGTTTGTGATCGACATGTGGCTGACTTGTGATTTGACTTGTGACGATCTAGCTAACAAATCTCTTATCTGATGTAGTGTCTTTCAAGAAATAAGTCAGAAATTTTATTTGCCAAGATATATGTTGTTGAAGAATCAACTATATTATTTTTCAAACAAAAAAAACAGCACTTGATTGTACACCCACCATGTGGACATTTGTCTCAATTACGTTTAACCCTAACCTTCCCAAATCCATTAAAATCCATCTCCCCCATTCGGTAGGCAAGTCACGAGTACCAAGTCCATCAAAACCCATCTATAGTAGTGGTAGTCTTGTGAAGATTATCAGCGGAATTTGTCCCAAAGCGTTATGTGAAGTAGGGTCACTGATCAATTTTGGTGGACTTGGTCCAGTACTTAGTAACAGACAGTAGGGAGTTAAAGTTAAGGGAATTTTCTTGACTAAATTTACCTGTGTAGAGATAGGGGTTTGGTGGAACCCACACATGTTGGCCCCCGGAGTGCTCAGTGCCGGGTGCATGAGGGTGGCCCCCTGCTCCCCTATGGGGGTAGGCGATGGGTAATTGCTTGGGCGCTGGAGGGGGAGGCTCGTAGCGGGGCATGTTTCTTGCACTTGGATGGTGGTACTGGGCCATCTTAGAAATGTGACTGGAAAGAGGAGACATAAAAGTAACGACAGTGTTAAAGTATTGATGACACAATGTCCTTACAGGCGAGCGAAAATCTATATAAAATAGATTGTGAAGCAATAATTAACCCTAAGAGATCCATCCAAATACAACAGCTAGTACAGATAGGCTTTGATAGATTCAGGACTTTACAGTGTAGCCACCATTACTTTACATGGTGTTTGATGTCCCATTTTTATTAAGTTCAGTACAACAAACACGACATTTGTTCACTGCGCATGCGTGGGATTGGGCTGGATCCAGGACAGGCTTCTAGCAAAATAATCAGGTGCATGTAGCCCCTTATTCATAACTTCGTCATTGCTGACACATTTACTTGTATTTTCATTATTTTCATGAACAGGAAATAAACGTTTCCAAAAAAAAAAACGATCTCCTATAGCCTGATATTGTTAGGCCAACAAAAATATGCTGTGTTTCCAGTTATTCAACTGACCCTAAACTTCTGGTTGTACATAGAATCAGCTGTTTTTTATGGGTTTAAAATTATATTTGATATATATTTTTAATTTCTATTCATACAATTTTGGAAGTGAAAAATACCCCAAATGAAAGTCTGAAATATTTGTTAGCATGCAATAAATTACCTCCTTACAACTACATCTACTTGCCCAAACGTCTTCCAATATATACATGTATACATGTACTGTGTACATGTATATGTGTACGTATGAACAATTCAACACCAAAAACAAACAACAAGCCTACCTAATGACCCTTCCTTTTTGGGGCATGTTACCAGATTTTTTTTTCCTTCTTTTTTTTTTTTTTGCCTTATTGTCCAATGGCGCCAGCTCTGTACACTCTTATGGGCAGTCGTCACTGAAGTTTACAAAAATATCACACCAGAAAACAACTGTTCAAGACTCAGGGGAGTATGGTTTCCATGAAGGTACTTTCCTGGTCTTCTGGTGAAGTTCTAGATCTGTGACCTTAGGTTCGATTCCCACCCAGGCTCACAAGTGGATGAGGTTTTTCAGTCCGTACCTGATTCCTCAGTTTTCTCAAAAAAATATTTATCAAGGGTTTTTCTTCCACCTCTTAATCTGAGCATTTCTCACTGTCTTTCCTTCACAGGTTTCTTGTGAGTTGCTGGCTGCAGTGCCTTGATTGCTTTAGAGGAATCCTTAGTGTCATGACCAGAAATAAAAATTAAAGAAGTACATGTCTCCCTAACTTCTTACTTGATGTAGTAAACACCATGCTCCGGGGATTCAACTTTCTCCCAGCCGGCCGGCAGTCCTTCCTTCTCCATTGGGTGACTCCAGTGAGTTGTTTGGGTATTATGGCTGAAAATGTTATGCAGACAACATCAGAAGACTTGACTTGACTCTAGTGAAAGGCTAATAACACTCAAGTTCCAAAACTGTGCAAAAATATATTTGTGGTGACTTACGGCACAAAATTATGTTCGCATACTATGTGTTATTACCATCAAGTAGTGGCCGTTTATTGCGTACAAAAAAACAACGTATCACAGACTCCAATCTTGTGGTTTATAGCGCACACACTATTATCCCGGAACCAGACTTTAACGTATTCCCCAATTCTTGGTTTCATCATCGGCTTCGGGCGATTTCTTAAGCCCTTGATGGAACTCCGGCTGAATTTGTCCTGCTTTTAAAAAATAGTTTGATTTTTTTCTACACACGTATAATCAAAAATAGTTTCATATGTTGCAATTTGGTTTGACGTTAGGCCAAAAAAAAATAATAGTTCTGCTTCCGGTTTCCCTACCTACTCTATTCTGACAGCCTCTACCCTAATTTTGTATGGGAAAAATGAGAAAAAAAAACACCCCAAACCATCAATTTTTACCTTTTACCCTTGGCAACACGCAGACGCCTCCATATGATCGTACACAAAAAAAATTGGCAAAAAAAAATTTATTTCCCTACCTACCTACCCTATTTTCAAATGCCATGTAATCGGAAGCAGAACTATTTTTTTTTGGCCTTATCGGCGTAAAACTTATTTCAGACCTGAAGCCAAACCAGAAATAAAACAGAAGTTTCCCCTTTTGTTAACTGTTTTAAAATACATAGATCTTTGGTAGAAACTAGAAACGTCCAGCAGAAACTGTCTATTGGGTACCATGCAGCATATTTAGGTCTTGGATCTTCATACTGGTGCCTTGTGTTCCTATTCTATTCTGTAATTCATTAGATGGCGTTCAAATATCAGTGCCTCGAATTGACTTGAGCATAAATTTGACTCGACTTGACTTGACTACCCGGTGACTCTACTCGACTCGACCTTCTTGACCGCTAATGACTCGACTCAATTCGAGTCACTTCCTCAGGGATGTGATTGGTCTGTGACAAAAAAACCTGAAAATTTTATGCATGAAGTGCAAACTCCGGCGAGCGCGAAGCCATTACGGCGTGGGGTCCGGGACCCGCTTAAGGGCCCCGGAAAATTTTTGATTTTAGATGCTCTGTGATGCAATCTGAGGCAATTACTGGGCACTTTCCTCTGAAATTCTGAAGCAGAATTTGTTTTAATTTTATGAAGAATTTTCCTTCATTTGTTAACATGTACTCTTGTTCTAATAAAGTTTTTTCTGTACTCAAAGTTGAGAACCATGCTGTTCTCACCAGGATTTTTTCAAACCTGTGGGGGAATTTTTGTTGTGATACAACAACCTGCGAAGCCACGGCGTGGGTTCGGGGCCCGCTTAAGGGCCCCGAAAAATTTTGAACTTTAGAAGCTTTCTGGTGCATTTTAGAGCATTTCAGAGGAGATCTTGTAATATTTTTGTAAAAAAAAATCAAAATTGTAAACTTAAATCACTTCTGCTTCCGATAACATGCCTTTCAAAATCTGAGCGTCGGTAGTATTGTTGGAAAAAAAATATTTCACCATTTCTATATTTGTAGTTAAGCAAGGAATCGTTTATATTTCATGTATTTTGTGCCTGGATTATTCTCATTTGCGGCACAAAAATTATCAAGACTAGCCATCAAAAGTGATTAAAACTTGCCTCACCTAATTAAAAATATATTTGAGGTGGGTCATTCCACAATTATGCTTAACGTACATCACGGCCGCTAGCGCGGCAAACATTCAGTCTGGCCGGCCGTACATCGCGCCGTACACACGGCCGGCCCGGCGCAGTATCAGTGTGCATTGCTGCACAGTGTACGGCCCATCCCACGTGGCCGAAAATTCTGCAAGACTGCAGGAACACGCTACGATGTTTCTCCACAGGTTCGAGTTTTGCAATCTCGTCTTTTCAATGGAAAATACATACACAGAAAATGAAGATCACGTTCTGTGAATTAATTTGCAGAAATCCTCTTTTTTCATCGATGGTTGTTTGGTATTTTTACTATTTTTACGATCCAACTTCGGCCGATTCACGCACGGAAAACGAACCTGTGAGTACTTGCAGTAGTCACTGGTTCCGGTCCTTCATCATAGCATTGATTCTGTTTGCACGCGAAGGGTACCAGTGTACCATGCTGCACTCGTCTGCACACCTGACCAGCGCAACACGTGCATCTGAAGTACCGACACAGGAACTAGACCTACATAACCACAACCTCGGCCCCGAGCGAAAAATCACATAATCACACTAATGGCAACGCATGGTCTTCAACTTCGTTCTCACATTGGGTGTTCAATATGTGCGTGCGGCATACATATCGATCAACGATGTTTATGTCCGTAAGTAAATTTTGGATATTTCGGCAAGCAAAACTCATTATGAATAATTAATAAGCACATTCAACCCCCCTATTTTCTCAACGGATTCACACGATTCACGTTGGTGGACTTTTGAGGCCCCAAAAAACGGAGTTCCGGAAAAAAACGGAGAAATCACATCCCTGCTTCCTTAAAATGACTCGACTCGACTTTCAGTGACAAAATTCACAAAATTCAGTGACTCGTTACAACTCTGATAGCAACTGACAATTAGTTTTCCCCCTATGGAATAGATAGATCAATTAAAGCCCTGCCCACTGCAACAATGTACACATGCACCTCGGCTATACTGCACTGCATGTTCCAATCACACGTCACATGCAGGTGCACGCATATCGGACTTGAATCTTGGTCAAAGCATAACGAGGGAGCGTAATGGATTGGTCTATAGATGAGAAAGAAATCCATTTTGGTTTTAAGATACTACACACCAACTAACAACTATTATTTCATTGTATGTATTGCATACTCACTCTATAAAAAAGATGCGTCCTCTCATTGTTTGATCAACCGTCCACCCTGGGGGGAGGGGAAGGGCCAAGTTGCCTCCTGGAGGGGGCGGATGCCTCAAGTTTCCTGCTCAAAAAAAAAAACCAAAGTGAGAATGGTCAGCTGCATGACTGTCTCACTATCCTAAACTCCCTTTCAGTTTTTTTTCGGAACCTTCCTACAAATGTCAAAGTCTAAACCAGCAGTAAAGTGCGGGGCTTGATAAATCAGGCATGATAAGTTAAACAGATAACAAACCGTCGCGTCAGTGCAACGAGGTCCTAACTCCATTCTGCAACAAAATCGTATCTCGCGCGAATACGCTCCGTGCAACAACGTCGTATCTCGACATCCATTGACTTACGGGTTATTTTAAGTGAGATACAACCTTTTGACATTCTGAATCTTGCGTTTGGTGTGCGGCCCATTTTAGGAGGTACGTCCTTGTTGCACGGACAAGACGAAACAGACTTTTGTTTTCAGTTCATCGTTAAAGGTATCAATGTTATTTTAAAAATTGTTTCCTTTGATCATCCCTGTTTCTTGTGAGTTGACCACAACTGTGGCATTTACAAATGTACAAGTACAAAGTCTGGTTTAATTACCTATTGATGAACTGACTGGCACCATGTCTTGTACATACTGCCCCCGAGATGGTTGCGCAGCCAATGAAGGTGTGTAGCGACTGCTGTATGCTGACACACCGGGTTCTGTAAGCACCAAAAGCAAAAACCCAAAACGGGACGATGTTACAAACATTGTTAACTTGCTCCTCTAACTTTGTCTGAGTAGCAACTCTTATTTCTTATCAAACTTTCATTGTAAAACAGAGAGTAGAGAAGATATTTCAGAAACATACCGTTCTTCCAACACGCCATCTTGCCTGACTGCAGTTCATTTGCCGCGAAGCACATCCCCTGGTGTACGTGCGTCGCACACAAGGAATAGTACGCGTCAACCAGCGAAATGTCCCGCCCAAGGGACGTTGTTGCTAGGTAAAAGGGCGCCCTCTTTTGTCGGCGCACAGAGCCCATACGACTCACTTTAGGACTTATTTTTCAAATAGTGCAACAGTCTTGGCATTGGTGACCATTTGAACGTAAAAGCTTCACAATGTCAAATTCCATTTTTTTAAACAAAAGAATAACAGGGTTGCTCCTTTAACCAATCATGTCTTTCAGTCTTGAAAATAATGTAATTTCTTGGCCTCTTCTTTTAAATATTTTATTCAATTCCTACACCCTTCAGTGTTGTAGTCGAGTTCATCACTATGTCCTTTCACAAGTCCAGTCAAAAGTCCAGTCATAAGTCCAGTCACAAGTCCAGTCACAAGTCCAGTCACAAGTCCAGTCACAAGTCCAGTCACAAGTCCAGTCACAAGTCCAGTCACAAGTCCAGTCACAAGTCCAGTCACAAGTCCAGTCACAAGTACAGTCACAAGTCTAGTTACAAGTCCAGTCACAAGTCCAGTCACAAGTCCAGTCACAAGTCCAGTCACAAGTCCTTTCACAAGTCCAGTCACAAGTCCAGTCACAACTCCAGTCACAACTCCAGTCACAAGTCCAGTCACAAGTCCAGTCACAAGGCCAGTCACAAGGCCAGTCACAAGTCCAGTCACAAGTCCAGTCACAAGTCCAGTCACAAGTCCAGTCACAAGTCCAGTCACAAGTCCAGTCACAAGTCCAGTCACAAGTCCAGTCACAAGTCCAGTCACAAGTCCCGTTACAAGTCCAGTCACAAGTCCAGTCACAAGTCCAGTCACAAGTCCTTTCACAAGTCCAGTCACAAGTCCAGTCACAAGTCCAGTCACGAGTCCTTTCATAAGTCCAGTCGCAAACGGGATGAACAATGACAAGGCAATGCTTTTGCCACAGTTCATTTGAATAGCTAGTGACTTGACTTGAGACTGAAGGACTAGTGATGGACTTGGGATGGACTTGTGATGGACTTGTGATGGACTTGCAGGGACTGGTGATGGACTCGTGTACAACACTGACACCCTTTTATAAAAAAAACCTCAAGATAAGTATGTATAAAGTTAGATAAGACTTTACATCTAAATGATATTGACATCATACATGTATATGCATTGTTGTTTCAGTATCAAATTGCAATCACTTTTCCTAGGCTGAACAAATGATGTTGCAAATTTAGCCGTTAGCGTCCCAGATGCTTTAATACTAAATCCCTAGGCCTTTTTGCTAGGATGTAGCCTCAATCCTGCAAAATGCTCCAATTGCCTCATGGAAAATATAGCCTCAATCCTGCAAACTCCTCCATTATTTCTTGAATACGGTCCGTGGAGGGGTGACCACTGCCTGAATCCTGCAAAATCCTGCAGCAGTGACTGTCAATATGTTGAGGCTTGACCAGTGACATCCTGGAGCAGTACGGAGGATTTCAAGTATAATCCAGGCCTATATTTATGCATGGCTGAGCAAAAAACAACACAAGGTCCGGCCCAAGACCTTGACAAAGTGCATCCTACAAAATCAGTAACGCACTTTTGCCATGTAACCTCAATTCCTCCACTTTGGCAAAGAGGATTTTGAAGGATTCAGGGCGGTTAGGGTTAAAATCCACCAGAAGGATTTGGAGTAAATTGCAGAACCGAGGTGTCGATTTACCTCTAAATGGGGCTTATTGTTCCTTAAACAGAAGAATTTGAGAGAATCCAGGAAGGTCTCTGGCAAAAATACAGAGATAGTTTGGGTTTATAACCGGACACATATCTATGCTGATACCTGCGCCTGTCGAGGCAAGACTCTGTACTGAAGCGTTGGGTGAGCGACTGTAACGCCCAGCACTGACGCTCTGTGCTTCGTGTGCTGTGCTGGGGTGCTGTGCGGAGCTTGGAGGGGTGCGACGACGGCTCTTGGCTGGCCCATGACGTACCACTGGAGATATATAACCTAAAAGAATGAAGAACGTGGACTTGCAATGCAATCTGAACTTCGTGCAATATTCAGTCAGTTTTTGCATCTTTATTTAATTCATTAACCCTTACTCTCTGAGGGTAGTTTACTGCATGTCAGTTGGTTATGCCAATGCCCTCCAGCTGCAGTTTATTGGAGGATACTTTGATGTAGCAGTGAAGGCTCCAATTGGCAGGAGTTGGAGGCCCTGGAGGGTACCTGATACTGACCAGCTGGGGGCACTTGATTGTTATCAGAGGACTCTCATTGTTCTCTGTGGCATGTATTGGAGTGCCTGTCCAGTTACCCTTGAAATGACATGGCAGATATTGGAGGGCCATGCAAAAAACATAGGAGATTTTCTTGAGGCACATATTGGCATGCGTTGGAGGGTCTAGTAGGGTAAGGGTTAAATCTAAACTCGCAGTGATACACAAAGGTGATGAGAGTTTGTGGCCATGGAAATCTGATTTCGGCTGGCACTTTTCCTTCTTTTTTCCTCAAAGAACATTTTCACTGGTTTATCCCCTTCCTGCAGTAAATACATTGTTTTTGTCTTAATTTATTAGTTTTAAAAAGCACTTATAATAGCCAGATTAATTCACTTCCCTTTTGTAAAATTCCAGATTATAATAGCTAAATGCGGTACCCGCTGCTATGTACATCAGATTTGAACCAGCCAACGGATCCCGCAAGCGCAGTGATCCAGTGGTAAGACATCTGCACTAGAAAGCAGGAGGTTGTGGGTTCGAGTCCCACCCGAGTGATTTTTTCCAACTTTCACTCGGGAGGTAACACAACGGAGTATTCGTCGGTGAAGGGCAAAACCTAATATTGATTTACATTACCCCGACGCAAAAATTTCATCTTATGAATAGCTCATGATGACTTTCTCATGCATTACACTCTTTATTTTCTTTGCAGCTGGATGTAATTGTAAAGTACATGCATGTTGGGCCCCAACTGAAACCAATTTTAACGGTTCCGGAATACCCTGCAATAACCAAGTGTAATACATTTATAAATTAACACTATCCAATCGGCGGTTGAAAGTCCACAAGACTGGTCATAACCAAGTGTAATACATTTATAAATTAACACTATCCAATCGGCAGTTGAAAGTCCACAAGGCTGGTCATGAACTTAACTTGTCACCTTTATTTAATTCCTCTATCGTAAAAAAACTAATCCCTTATAAATAACAAACAATTGGGCATAGGGTCCTAGTACAGGGAACCTGTTTTTGTGATCCACTGATCAGACTCACTTTGCAGAATGGGGGATGATTCTCGCTTGGTGTATTTGCCGGCGATACCCTCTGAAGTCAAAGGCTTGGAAGAGTCCTTCTTTCGAGAGAGCAGCATCTTGGCCTTCCCGGTCAAGTAGATGAGGGTCTATATTTGTTGGTGTCCTCTCTGTTTATTTCTGTTGTAATAATAATATTGTTGAGATTATTGTGAATGCATGAAACATAAGTGTGTATATATGCCAATAATGTGGGCGATCGTGTAGTGTAGGGTCCCTTTTCTGTTTCGATCAAATTAGCACTAACCCCCTAGGCCTTTTTGCTAGGAACCATCCTCAATCCTCCAAAATTTTACAACAGCGCCTAAATTATTCAAAATTTTCAGACAGTCCTGCCTCAAAATGCATTCATCCTCAATCCTCCAAAGTCCTCCTCATCCAACTCCAAAATCCTCCTCATCCAAAAAAAGTTGCACTTATGTTCAAATGAAGGGTACCCAGCCCCTCAATCCTTCAAAATCGTCAGACAGTCCTGCCTCAAAATACCATTCAGCCTCAATCCTCCAAAATCCTTTTCTGAAAAATACCATTCAGCCTCAATCCTCCAAAATCCTTATCTAAAAAAATACCATTCAGCCTCAATCCTCCAAAACCCTCCAAAACCACACGGAGGATTGAGGAGGGCTAGGGTTAGAATCAAGAATATTTTTTACTACTACATGTACATTGTAAAACGTGACATTGTCAACATAAAGCAGACTTCTCTCAATGTTATGACAATTATAAGATGGAATTTTGCGTCGGGGTGATATAAATCAAATTAGGTTTTGCCCTTTACCGGCGTTTAAACACTGTATACTCAGTGTGTTACCTCCCGAGTGAAAGTTGGAAAAAATCACTCAGGTGGGACTCGAACCCACGACCTCCTGCTTTCTAGTGCAGATGTCAGATTTCTAGTGTCCGCTGCTATGTACATCAGCTTCGAACCAGCCAACCGATCCCGTTAGCTCGGTGGTCGAGTGGTAAGACATCTGCACTAGAAAGCAGGAGGTCATGGGTTCGAGTCCCATCCAAGTGATTTTTTCCAACTTTCACTCAGGAGGTAACACACTGAGTATACAGTGTTTAAACGTCGGTGAAGGGCAAAACCTAATTTGATTTATATCACCCTGACGCAAAATTCAATCTTATAATAGCTTATGCGGTACCCGCTGCTATGTACATCAGATTCGAACCAGCCAACCGATCCCGTTAGCTCGGTGGTCGAGTGGTAAGACATCTGCACTAGAAAGCAGGAGGTCGTGGGTTCGAGTCCCACCCGAGTGATTTTTTCCAACTTTTACTCGGGAGGTAACACACTGAGTATACAGTGTTTAAACGTCGGTGAAGGGCAAAACCTAATTTGAATGTTATGACACCTTTTTGGTAATTTTTTAACAGTTTCTTGGGGTAAAAATTACGATTTTTATATGTGGTTTTCGGGCTTGTTGGTGCTGTGTACTGTGTAGTGCGACTTACGTGCTCGCGGTACATCGTGCGGTGACCGCCATCTTTATCTCCCAGATTCAGGTAATCCTTACTTTTAGGACCCCTTTCCTATATAAGGTTAAAAGACTCACCAAAACAGCCGACTAAATGACACTCAAAAGTGACATTCTGATATTTATTGACACATTTGAACATTTGACAATGACACCTCTTGAATATCAGCAGGTTTGATTTTGTAGAAAGAGGGCAGGGTTTTGATTTATGAGGGGTTAAAGACGACGATGACAAACAGAAAATAAATTTTAAAAGCAAGATGGCGAACTGCAAAAAAAGGTAGGAAAGTCACATTTTCTTTGAAAGTGCTTTCAAAAGTTTGTCTGAAGAAAAAAGACTTCTTTAGCCTGCAAAAGTCACTTTGGTGCTGGACAGTCATCTGCAAAAGTCAGTTTTGAACAGAACTCGTACAAAATAGAGGTGTCCTAAAATACCCAACCCAGATTCATGTCTTATCGTCATTTTTGCAATGACTGACACACGACTGACCTTTACATGAGATGATAAAGCAGTGTCAGGTTGCAACATTCTTTCCAAAAATTGATGTGTTTGGCGGCAGGTAAGTGGTGTCCCAGAATGGAATTCGCAGGCTACATGCCTAGTTTTAAATGGTCTGACAATATTATTAGCGCCCTCTCTTGTTCCCACACGAAGCCGAACTGAGTACGCGTTACGGAATCGGCGTTGGGTTAATCGCCGACTAGCCAAGTCTGTCATGGGATTCCTTCCTCTGTGGGCAAAGCTAGCCACAAGATTTTTGAAAAAGTTCAGATTTTACCACAAAGCACAAACAAGCGTACTTACTTCATTCCAAAGCCTTACAAAACTGTTCCAAAATTGGTTCTTGTTTCCAAACTTTCTCCTTCCGGTAATTCCGTACGGGCTGCCATATTGATTGTTCGTGAAGCTGAAACTCTTACCTCCAATAATGATTGCTAACTGTAAAAACCAGTGACGTAGCCCGTTTATGTGTATTTATGTCGTGTGGGTGAACCTAGCAACGAGCATGCACCGCGCACAGTGATCGGATCGTGTGTCATGCATTGCATTGCACGTATTATGTACGAAGACTGAACGAAAGCTGTCGGGTGAGCTGAGATCGCCCTTCAAAAATTCATGTTAAAACCATTTCATCTGTTCGTTTTGCATGAATCCACACTGTTCATCGTTTAATTGAGGCTCATATTCATATTTCATCGTCATTTTTGTCATTGAATATTTCGACTTTGTGAAATATTTGGCATGTCAACTAATGCAGAACAACCTCCAGTGGAGGAGCAGAAAAACAACCAGTCACGATCACCCAGTAAGCCCGGAACCCCGGCTGGATCTGTCGTGTCGGCTACCACACCGCCTCCGAACATGGCTCTGAATCTCAACCCCAAGGAGCAGGAGTTCACCAACGCCAAGGCATACCTCTTGAAAGCAAGCGCAAAGTCAAATTTAAATTTGTACGTAACTTTTTATGTCATTTCATTAACCTTACGCAATTTTTTGTACATGAATCCTTTGAGTTTGACATTTGTATTGCAACCTATTTTTCAGTAGAAATCGTAAAGTTTTGGACCCCATTTCGTATAGAGAATTAAACAACTTTGCACGTACCCTACTGTTAAAACAAGGAAGAGTGTTGTATTTTCTTCCAAATTACTATTCAAAATGGTACTAACCTGCTGCAAAAATGCAAAAGTTAGGCCTACTTTGGAATGATAAACAAACAAAAAAGAAGTTTAAAGTGAAATAAACAGAGAGGGGTCCCAAACTTGATATTGCCTTTTTACCATTATTTGTTTGTAGAAATAGTTTCGTAAAAATGGTGCAACCTGATGCCACTTCAGCGGTTGTGTACAAAGACTATGGAGTGTCAAGACATTTTTTCTAAGTATGTCCTAAACAAAATTGGAAATGTTTCTCAGTCCCAGATTCATGTCTTATCATCATTTTTGCAATGACTGACCTTCATTGAGATGATATATGAAGAAAAAAGTGGCGTCAGTGTGCAACATTTTTTCCATAGTTTCTGCCTTATGTGACTGTGAGTATAACTAATTTACATGCAGTGAAATACAATGGAATTTTAGGCTCAAACACTTGATATTCAATTCCTTACACTACAGCTAAACGTTCCTGTTGCATGTCTTGACAACAAAAGCATTTTTCAATTTTGGGACTTCTGTATTCTTTTTGTTTGTTTGCTCTATTGTTTAAATTCTTAGAGTAGACAGTTTTTATCAATCCAAAATGACTTTTGCAGCCTCTAACTACAGTCTTTTTGTTTAGATGAACATTACTATAGGGTTTTATCATTTTCAGTGTTACTTTAGAAGAAAATGTGACATTCTTAACAGTTTTAGTTCAAACATAAGAGTGGATTTTCATTCTCTGCATTTGGAACGGAGTCCCTAACTTTACAATTACCACAACAAAATTGCCATTTTGTCTTCTTTAAACTAGACAGGGGATAACAGGGTAATTAGTTCCGATACTTGCATTATTATCAATTGAGCTTTTTTTTTTTTTTTTGTACATGTCGTAGATGATATGAGTATGATAATGCTTTTCAGGCTAGGAAATCATTCAGTTAGTCAAAGAGTCCGACATGAGGAGCTTGTAACATGTTTATCTTTATTTTCCATTTTTCAAAGTCAATCATTGACTCACATTTGGGCCTATATTACATTACACATGAAACAAAATTTGTGATTTAGGCTAGAGCTACCTTTTTAGTGGCAAAAGGAAACAATGTTTTCATGTGAATTTTTCAGTACTTTCTATCTGGGCAGAGGTTACATGTAGATGATATTGCCAACTGTCTTAACAGTCGACTAGAACTCATTTACCAAGGATTTTCACAGGTAATAATGTGTAGTGGAACTTTGTACTAGAGTTAGGCACAGACAAATGATTATTACAGTGCTCTCCCAGTACAGTTTTCCCAATACAGGTCAGATCACGAAGTGCTTTGTTGATAGTGGAGTTGGTAGGTTTCAGTTTTTAAGTTGTTTAGCCGAGGAGATAGAATTTGAGGCTAGAAATCGAGAGCGACTCTTAAAGTGAGTATTAAATCTACAGGTTTTAGTTAGGAAAAGTCCCTGAAATGGACTTCATGCATGTGGGCGTTTACTTGTATTTTATCTGTACATTTGGTCTATTGGAAAAATTTTATTTTTGTAATGTTTGAGATATTATGATGGACATAGTTTTAAGGGGGTTGAGCTCAACAAAATATGTAGTGTCATTTTTGTTTGTAGGTTTTTTTTACAATCATTAAGGAACTTGCATTTTAATATAATTCAATTCAAGTCATTCCACAAAAATAATTCTATATGTGACGTAGTTTTGTTTGTATTTTCCTTGTATAGGTATGATCATCTGAGTCGGGTGCTCACAAAAGTTCTTGATGAAAGGCCTGAGAATGTTGTTGGTAAGGGACAATCACAGTTGAAAAAATGTCATAAATTTTTGCATTTTGACATAATTCTTATGTTCGAGTTTGCTATTTCATTTGGTGATGATTTTGAATATTTAATATTACACTACAGTGCACTAAATTACAGCAAGTCAAATATCGGTTGTACAAGTTGTACGGGCCTGATGTTTTGATCGCAATGGAATCTTTCTAAAGTTGTACGGGGCCTGATGTTTTGATCACAATGGAACCTTTCTTAAACGCCGCTTGATCAAAATATTAGGTCTTCTTAGATAATCGTCAGTAATCAGTCAATTTGGTTATTCATGTGATAATCAGTATAATTAATTTTGTCAACAGATGTCTTTGAGGATATCAGCAAGGATGTTAAGAAGTCCAAGTTCACATCCAAGGTAGACACCATCCTGGACAAAGTGGACCACTCCACAGCAGTGCAGCTGGCTGAGTCACAGAGGGCGCTGTTTGAGGTGACTGTTCTGAACCTGTTAGTCTCTGTACCGCCCCAAAGCACCCTGCCTGTATACTCATTATATACCGCCCCAAACTGCCCCAGCATGCTATGGTTTATGGATTCGTCAAGGAGTAAACACAGTGTAGTAAAATGTAATGCAAGTGTTGAAGGGTTAATTATCCTGTCTAATAAACCACATACATGTATGAATTATATACTCCATGTACATGTAGCTTATGCATCAGTACTTCAGATTTGGCTTGGGTAATTCCAACTTTTTTGGAATCGATGCGAATTCCATCTAATGCATGGACTCCAAATTTTACTTGCTATATTGTGAAAATCCTCCGTCAATTACTAGTGAAGTACCCTAATGAGTTGAATCACACACATTACCCCTAAACTAGGGTTATTAATGCATTCAAGTGTGTAGCTATAGCTCCTTAATTTGAGCCAAAATCTGGAAACAGTAAAATGTTATATTTTAACTAAAAACTTGTAAGTGGAATTCAACGTCCAGGTCGATAATGTAGACTTGAAGAAAGCCCTGTAGGTCAATGCCTCGATCTGAAAGTAAAGTATTGTTTGCTTAAATTTGCAGAAAAATCAAGATGAAGCTGAGCATGAGGCAGGGGGTGAGGAGGAGGTGGACACTCCACTGCCTAACCTACCAGAACTGATGTATTACTTCGAGCAGGCTTCGGTGAGTTGATATCCAACAAACATTATCATATTGTTTACTTTACACTTGCTTACTTGTTTGTGTTTTTCAATTGGTGACTTCCTCTAACGAGTAAAGTTAAAGTGAAAGAGTTGACAAAAAGCTTAAGATGGAGAGTTTGAGGAGCAGATGACTGCATGTTCCCCAAATTTCAAAACGTTCATTTGCAGGCCAACTGATTTTGCCTAAGGAGTAGGTAATACAATGCACTGAAGCTCCTCACGCAGTCTATTAAGGAGGGTTAATTATGCAAAACTGTGAAGTGGGCCATGACTGTAGTCTGGCTTTTAATATGAAAAATTGAAAAATTTGTCTTGTTTTCTCAGATCGAGTCATACTGTTGTTTTCAAAATTTACAAAATTTGGGTTTTGTTCTTTAGTTGTTTAAATATTGAGTCATATGCATATTTAATTCAAGGTCTTGTCACTTGGAGAACTCCATTCATAATTTCATCCTCACCTTTGCTGTAAAACTGAAGGAAAAAGAAAGAACCAGGGTTTTGGAAGGAATTTGTCAAAAATGCTTCTGTGACCAATTTGACATCCATTATTGTTCTACTACCCATGTTCAAGTTCTTTTATAGATGTGAATGTGATATTCAGAGGTGTGAAAAAAAGTTTTTTTTTCATTTACAAATTTTCTCACGCTTTAAACGAAACCCAAAAATTAAGTCTGACATGATCTGCCTTCAAAATTGGCTATGCAAATCATCAATAATGTCTAAATATTTTAAGCAGCTGATTACTTGATCATGAACATCCCTCGTACATATATAATGACTGACAAAATCTCTACTTGTCTCAAGTTCAGTATATTGGGTTTGAAGTTTTTTAAATGTTTTTAGGCCAAGGTCAGTACTCAAAGCCCCCAAAATGTAACCACATTAAATCTCCACTTATAGATTGGCATTGGTCGTGAGGAAATGATGAGAATCTTCCTGGCTCTGAAGCAGCTGGTGGACAACTATCCCCTGCAGACCTGCCGCTTCTGGGGCAAGCTGTTTGGCACAGAGAAGAACTACATCGTGGCCGAGGTGGAATACAGGGAAGGAGACGAGGAAGAGGAGGAAGAAGAAGAGGTCGGTGTTGCAGTTGTTGGGCATTTAATTGTCTTCAGTTAATTGTTCCTCTGATTTTCTGCTTCAGTTGAAAGCAGTTGACTTCATCTTTTAAGACGGATTTAAGCTTTTTTGGAAAACATTGGAAATTAATGAATTCACTAGCCTAAAATACATACAAACTTTGCACATAGTGCAACAGGGGAGAGATTTGTCAGGATTTTTCCGGATTTCAGGATTTTTAAAACAATCCCTTTTGAAATCTGAAATTGTCTGAGCCTTGGCCATAAAGGTATCATTAGCTATAAATGACAAAAACACAAAAGAAAGGGGCATTTTAAAGGTAGAGTACATCATTTTTAATTCGTGCATTATGTTCGTTTAAAGCAACAAAAGGGCCCAAAATCTAGAAGGGCGCTAACAACTAAACTGATGAAGTTTTAGCTCTGTGAATGCTGTATATTCCGAGAAATCAATATTCTAGGATCTCAATTTCAAATCAAAAGTTGCCGAGTCATGTTTTGAATTGCGCCCAAATTCAGCGTCTGAGACACGTTCTCATTTAGCCGATTGCAACTATGTGATGTCACGCACTGAACTGACAGATTATTGCAAACGTACGCATGAGTGTATCATGTCAAGGTTTGCGCGCGCTTCCCCGAATTAACAACGAACTACTAACGGAAATTTCCAAAAATGCATCTTTATAGACGCATCGTTGGAAATGGCCTTCTTTTATTGTTTTCTTCAAAATGACAGCATGCCAGTAATTAGAATAATTTCACAGGGAGTTTAGTGCCATTACTAACTTTAAACCAAGTATGCTTTTCAATAATAATTTGGTCAGTTACTTTTTGGATAGCTGCAAATGATGGACTGTACCTTTAAGGGGTGCAATTATAAGCAATACAAATATATACACAGACCCTATGTCATGTATGTTGCTGTGAAAATGTCTACAACCTAAATGTGCACATCTGTGTTGGACAAAGTAAAGAGGAAATCCAACTTTAACAGCTTGACTACCGGTACTATACATGGGCTTTTACCACGCTTGAGAAAAATATCTCAATATATAAAAAAATGGTGTACGTGCGTTGCTGACCGTTAGCTAGTGTGTTCAAGCTGAGAGGAAAGCGTCCCTAGTGCAGGTGCATGATGCACAGATGCCAAAATCCGGGAGTACTTTAAGTACTTGCGGATTTTGCTAAAATGCTTTATGTACAATCACCTGTATGCGGTGGTGCAGGACCCCATGTAAGTCATCAAATGCTTGTCAGGTCTGTTGGTGCACAGTTTGTGTCTGTTTTTGTAGAGCACATATTTCTGCTCTTGTGTACAAGCATGAAATATTCTCCTTTTTTACTTGCAGGAGCATGAGGCGGAGGAGCAAGAGACAGAGAAGGATGATGATGAAGGAGAAGGAGGTAATGACACGTGGATGGCACATCGACTTTATTGTACTCTTTCACTTTATAAGATTTCAAGGTTTTCTTGGGTTTGATACCAAGTCTTAAACCATAGTTTTCCCAGTTTGGGAGATGGCATTCCCACATCACGTTTTTTTTCTGCGGTTAAAACCAAAACAAATGGTTTCTAGCCGGAGCTTCATCAAGATTATAACTTGCAGTTAATGAAAACTGAGCAGAAGAAATAAGTATGTGTTGGGAAGACCTGACAAGCCATCTAACAAGCACTCCCAAGACATATGTGATGTTATCAAGCTACATGAGTCGTTTGTCGGGAATTTTCATTTGGAGATACAGGCCAAAATAGGCCACTTCATCACATCACTTCATCACATCTCTTGGTGTTCCGACTTCCATAATTTTTGAACTAACGATGGTATCAGCATGCGATTTTCACAGCAGTACTGCTGAGATTGTGCTCTTTTCAAATCTGTAATAAAAAAAAATTGACCGGGGTCGACAAACGACTCATTTAGCGTGATCACATCACATATTACTCATGCAGTCTGTGTCTATCATGTAGGAAACATTTTTGCAAAAACAAACGGCCAGTTTAATCTGACTATTCAAAAACTTTGGGTTAATAAAACCAGTGGGAAATACAGTTAAGGGACCCAATTAAGGTTTTAAAAAGCCAAACCTGAGCTAGGAAATATTCAGAATGAGCAGTTTGTATTGGTAAAAGAATATAAAAATGCCGAAAGGTGTTTTATATGTCATATTTGTAGTAGGCAACAGACCTTATGCGTAGCGGCCATCTTAGAGGGCATCTTTTGTTATTTTTATTCAGTAACAATGAGCGCACAAAAAGGATTTGTAACTGATCCTTTTTTCCCCTCAAACTTTGAGCAGAGGAACAAGAAGAGGATGATACCCCAAAGCCAGACTTCAAGCCACCCCCGGTTATCCCTCGTGAGGAGAATCGTACTGGCACCAACAAGAAGACATACTTTGTTTGCAATGAGCGTAAGTTTGACAACTGACATGACTGATCCTTTTTCTTTTTATTAGTCCCGACTGATTTGCAAACATTATTCAAATTTTCCTAAGTTGTTTCAAAATGCTCCATCTAAGTATAGCCTGTAAGCCTCTTAAGTATAATTGTTCTCATAATTTTCCAAGACAGAAAAGGTTTTTTATGGTTACTGTGAGTGCACACAACCTTGTCTTGCTCCCCTATTAGTCAGTATCTGTACATCCCCTCTGGAATCTTCGAACATTCCAATTTTAAAGATGTCCCATAATCTGAAAAGCTCAATATTACCATTAACATAAAACGCCAAAACAAAGATTCAGCCAATTTGTTTTCACATTTATGGTAAATTAGCACATTTATGGTAAATTTTGTACATTAATTGTATTTAACTAGTTCACGCTGGGATTATTTTGACAAGAACCAAACGAGGCACAGGATTACTTTTCACTTGACCTCAAGCCAGGCGGATTGAAGCCATCACCCTCGGGCAGCACACTCATAATATTTCCGGCCTCGCTCGCTCGCTGCGAGCGGGCCGCTGACTGATATTTTCTTGCCTTGCTCCCTGTGTGTTTATCCGTCATCTGTATACACATCATCAAGCGCGAACTGGTTTAATAATGAAGAGAAAAACCTGTATTGAATTTTCTTTTAAAAAAACATGAGAGTTTCTTTCTCAGATCATAATACTTGGAATCATTTTTGTTTTTGCTTTATAGCTGGCCAACCGTGGGTGAAGCTACCACCAGTCACACCTGCTCAGATTGTCGGTGCCAGACAGATCAAGAAGTTCTTGACTGGAAAGCTCGATGCTCCGGTAAATATACTATAATTCTCTTTTTCTGTTGTTGCTAACAATACCTCATCCCAGTAGCCTGTTCTTATATTAAAGTTGCTTAACCTGCTCTCTTCAACATACTCAATTTGTTTTCTCTGAACGAATTCTCAATTTGCATGTTTGCCTCTTTTGCTATTTGGGACGTTTTCAACCCTCTGAAAAGACGCTTTTAGTTTGGGTTGCGTTTATAGACATAACGCACAAAAAGTAAACATTCCACAACTAAATCTGGGTGGATTTCTTGTTAAACAAGTTTCTGCTGTTTTTGTTCATTTCATGAATTGTTCTGATCCTATGATTAGATTGTGAGCTACCCTCCATTCCAAGGCAACGAGGCCAACTACCTGCGTTCCCAGATTGCTCGCATCTCGGCAGGGACTCAGATCAGTCCACTGGGCTTCTTCCAATTTGATGAAGAGGAAGAGGAGGAAGAAGAAGAGACGGGTATGCTTCAGGATTCTTCCCGTATTTTCCCATTTTACTTGTTTGTATTTTCACAGGGAGAAAAGGATTCAAATACATAATAATATCAGGGAAAATTTTAAAAGTGTGTTCATTTTGTTCAAGCATTTTAGGCTTCTAAAAGCATTCTGTAGTTCAAGATGAAGCTATTGCCAGAGACAATCAATTTTGGAAGATAGTATGACACAAGTTTAGATGTACACATTTTAAAATTTTACTCAAGCATAGGGGTCCGGGTTATCAGGTAGAAGTCTATAGTTGAACTAAAGTGTATATTGCATTGTATTTGATTCCTGATGAATGCAAAAACCTTACAGTGCTTGGCTGGTTTAGAGCAGTTTAGGGAATAACAGGCTGAGCTGTATGAGGAAGTACATAAATTAATTGGTCAAAATCAGTAAATAATTGAAACGGCGTATTCAAATTTAATTTTATTGCTATATTTCAATGGCTTTGTTTTATTTCTCATTATATTTCCTTTTCTTGACAGCCCGCGAGTCCTACATTGAAAACCCTGACTTTGAAGGCATCCCAGTCAAGGATCTTGTCGATCCCTCACTCTCCAACTGGGTGCATCATGTCCAACACGTTCTACCCCAGGTAAGAACTGGAGGATTTCTCAAATTGTCCTAGCTATACTGGTATCTTCACACGATCACCGCCGTGCACGTGACTGTCACCCCCACAGAGACATTACCGGTCTATACACATTCAGATACATTCATTGTACTGCTTTCAGAATTTAAGGTTGAACATCAGACTTTTTCTGACCATTAACCTGATTTGTATATCAATCAACTTAGGTTTTGCCCTTCACCGACGTTTTAAACACTGTATACTCAGTGTGTTACCTCCCGAGTGAAAGTTGGAAAAAATCACTCGGGTGGGACTCGAACCCATGACCTCCTGCTTTCTAGTGCAGATGTCTTACCACTCGACCACCGAGCTAACGGGATTGGTTGGTCGGTTCAAATCTGATGTACATAGCAGCGGGTACCGCATAAACTATTATAAGATGGAATTTTGCGTCGGGGTGATATAAATCAAATTAGGTTTTGCCCTTCACCGACGTTTAAACACTGTATACTCAGTGTGTTATAACTGAAAAATGGTTTTGCTCTCTCACATTCTGTACTGTAATTGTATAAAGTGATACAAATTGATTATTGTGCTAGTTCAGTTTGAGAGAGCAGTTTTCAACCTGTTTGTAACTTTGTTTTATAGGTAACGAACACCATTTTTTGCCAAAAAAAATGTATTTTAACCAATTCAAGGAACAACAATTATTACAAATTAAAAAAAAATAACATGTCGAAATGATGCTTGAAAAAAAGCATTTATGCATGAAAAAAAGCATTTTGTCTTGATGCAAAGCAAGGTTTCCTCCCTTCCAAAATGTTCTTTAATCCGTGTTGACTTGCACCCTCTTGTGGTTTGATCCCCAGTTTGTCACTCGTGAAAATAATTCAGGAAAATATGTAAACGATTGCAGAGTAAACTAAACTCGGTCAATTTGGGGCAGTATTTGAAAAAGTGGTTTCGTCCTAACCACAACGAGAAAATGGTGGTAATTCCATTTTTACAGGATTTTACAGGATGCTTGATCCTATTATTTACTTCCAGTCATCAAGTAGGATATTTTATAATATTGTGTTTTACTTGTGAATGTTTGCAAATATGTCCATCGCCTTAAAAACAGTATATATTTGATCAGCCTGACCATTTGTGTTTTGGCCTTGCAGGGTCGGTGTACGTGGTTCAACCCAGTCCAGCAGCAAGAGGATGACTTTGAGGATGAGGAGGATGAAGAGGAAAGGGAGGAGCCAGACGAACCGGAGCCTGAGGTGGGACCTCCCCTGCTCACACCCATCTCTGAAGATGTTGGTAAGTTACTTCGCTGGTTGTATTGTTAGTGTAGGGATTGTGTCACATCAGTCATTTAACGAGGGTCTATGATATGCGGGCAGATTCAGTGATTAATTATGCAAAACAAGACTGCGTCTTGAACTTGAGATTCTGACCATCAGCGAGCGCCTTCTATATCGGGTCTTCGGTAACCCGTTGTCATGGACATCTAATAAAACCTATACACCACATCTGTTATGCTTTTGCGTTGCGAATTGTGTTCGCAAGAAATAGGCTGCGTCACGTGGCCTGTAACGATATGTTACACGATGCGCAAACGTCCTGTGGCTTCAATGGCATGATCATCACGCCAATATTTTAAATAACGCGTGTAATGCGAATGCCCTCTTACACGTTCACTTTACGCCCACGATAAGCGTCGTCGTATTCTATACGCACAGCATTTTGCTAACAGTTTTGAAAGCTCATGGCGACATCGTGTCTAGGTCTTATGAAATCTCATATGCCCGTTGTTGTATTACAAAAACATGGCATCCAAATTGACCAATCAACAGCTTAGTCCATATTTCAGATTAAAATGATGTCACTATTTGGTAAAGTCTGATTGGCTGGCCCGCGAGGTCGCATAAATTTGCATGCTGAGATATATCAGGACCGGAGACAGAGAGAGCTCCGTTGGATAACAGTCGATACTCAAACTACTAACACCCTGGGACAGCTAAATTAATTAGTTGAATAACCATGGCTCATTATAGATACCAGTCGTTTTTCTGAAAGTCCATGTATTAATCAAATTTTGTGCAACTTTGTGCCAGAGCTGTAATTGTCAAATCCTCATCAGCATCACAAGCCAACCACAAGTCTTTCAGCCTCAAATAAAGTCAAAGTTATATGAGCAAGTTTGGAAGAGGAGCATGGTTAACCATAGTTCAACTAACTGCAATCAACGCAGGATTGTTGGACTACTCTTGTCGACATTTTGGAAATGGTTGCATCGCTGGTTACCAGTAGCTGCACTCATAATGCACAGCAGAGATCTGTGGGGAGGTTTCGTGGTGACATTTTCCAGAGGTTTCGTGGTGACATTTTGGCCAGCGTTTGACTAGAGACATACTTTGCTATTAGTGCGCAGGCGTAAGTTATGTCAAAAATCAACCAATGGTCGACTAATGGTCCTCACCCAAGCTTCCTCTGTGTTTAAATGACTGCAGCAAAGGCATCTCTTTGTTATTTTTTACTCGATTTGACCTGATGGACTTGAGTTTAGATGCTGGCTGCAACAGATTAGCTCTGTGTATGTACGTGCTGTCTTTATGAAAACTACTTCAAACTTGCCCCGTTTTTTTTTTATTTACAGAAATTGATACCATTCCACCTTGGAGTGCCCGCCTGTCTTCAACCCTTGTGCCCCAGTATGCTCTCTCTGTCATCCAGTCCAACCTGTGGCCTGGGGCATACGCATTCGGAACAGATAAGTAAGTCAAACCTTTGCTGTTACCAAAACCAAACAATCTTCACTGATTATTGTGGAAAATTCCGCCCTTACCATGTATTTTTGGCTCCTGTGTGGGTTAGGGTTAAAGCAGAATTACTGTGCCAGCACTCTTAAGCACAAACATTTAACTTGTAGAGTGGCACATCATTAATGTTTCTGAATGGTGATTGCTCTGTGGGGTCTACATCGTTGTCGACTAGCAATGATACTTGGCTAAACACAGTTAATGCGTTATTTTACTCGTAAAAAACCTTCTTCCTACCTTCGCAGGAAATTTGAGAACGTATACCTGGGATGGGGCCACAAGTACTCCCCGGAGAACTACAGCCCACCACCTCCCCCGCCAGTGCAGGAGGAGTTCCCCAGCGGGCCGGAGATCACCGAGGGTGAGGATCCTAGCCCCGAGGAAGAAGCGGCGCTCCGGGCCGCCCAGCAAGAGGCCATGGAGCAGGCCGAGGAAATGGAAGATGTGGACGAGGACGAAGATGAGGATGATTAAATCAAGGAGACGAGCTAAGGCCAAAGTGGAGCTGCTAAAGCACAGAAATATGCAAAACTGGTTACCAGCTAAAATGCCATACTGTGTTTATTGCTTGTCACTGGTTCTCAGCTGATTTGTGCTTAAAATTTGTATAAATTTGCATAAAGGATATTTTTGGCTCAGCAGCTTTGTAAATTTGAGCTCAGATGATGAGGAAGGGCCATGATGTTGACTTAGGATTCTTAAGGGGGGTATTTGTGCACAGGGATAAGGACAACACGTGGATAGGGCTATTATGGGTTTTCTAATTTTGGGTGGGAAAGCCTTAGAAGCATTGCTTCATGGCACAATAGGAAACGTGGTGCCTTCGGTTGAGTTTCAAGTCTTTCGAATGTGGGACGTGGGATGGGTGATCTTTCCCACTGAGGTACGCTGTCTTATGTTTGCCAGGGATTGATCATCTATATTTTGTCACACAGTTATCACTTGATGGCAGTAAGGACTATTGTCTAATTTCATTCTGCTTAACCCTGGGGTGGGAAAAAATCACATGAAAATAGGAGGATTAGCAGAAACATGTTTACCATGTATAGCAGAGAGTGGCTGTTCTAACACCTGTGTGCATGGCCAATTCTTTTGTTGTGTCATAAATTATGCCTCTGGAGTAAGCACGCACTCTGCTGTGCTTATTCAGCACCATGAAATTGGGCCCTTTTTACTTGATGCGTTGTCTGCTGGTTAAAGACTCATTTCAAAGACAATCGGAGAGAAATGAACACATGCACATTCTCCTGTTTGCAGAACAATCTGACGTCAATCTTCCAAGTGTTGCCAATTGGTTAAAGGCAAATATGAGGCCGGTTCATACTTAGTGTGAGGGAAAGGACAAATTTTGGCAAGTACATGTACTCTTTCTAAAATTGAAACAATTGAACACATTTCCACTGTTTTGTGTTCAAATTTGATTCACGTTCATGTTTAACCAGTTCACGCCAGGATTATTTTGACAAGAATCGAACGAGGTGCGGGATTAATATGCACTCGACCTCAAGCCAGGTGGGTTGAAGCCATCACCCTCAGGCAGCACACTCGTATTTCAGGCCTCGCTCGCCGCGAGCGGGTCGCTGACAGATATTTCCGGCCTCGCTCCCTGCGTGTTTATCCGTCATCCCTTGAAGCCATCACCCTCAGGCAGCACACTCATATTTCTGGCCCGCTTGCTGCGAGCGGGTCGCTGACAGATATTTTTGGCCTCACTCCCTGCGTGTTTATCCATCATCCGTTCCGAATACCGCAAAACTTTGCGTGTATTACACGTCATCCTGCGCAAACTGGTTAAAGTATGAACTGGCTTAAAAGTTTCGAAATCAGGGGTCATAAGTTCATTTGAAAAAATATTACGCCATTACAGACACACAGATCCGTCCATCAGCCAGTATTGTATATAATGTGGATGTGTATAAATGTATTTGTGCTTTTCTTATAAATAATTACCGCCTTCCATTGCATAGTTATACAGTTACCGAAAGTGCTTTTTCGTTTCATACTGAATTACATCCGTCCAATTAAAAACAGATTGTTACCACCTGGATTTTACTTTTCAATTTAAAAGATTTGTATACATAAATTTGTAATTCTCAGTATTTAAGCATCAACTGTTTGTTGGGTCTAGTCTTTGCCTTGAACATGCTTTGTATATTGTAAATTCTAAAATTTAATCAAAAACTTCAGTTCTAATGTTGTGTTTTGCTTAATTTTTGAAAGATAAAAGTTAATAAAATTTGACGAGTCTTTGTAAAGTCTGGGAGTTTCTGTCAGATTTTGTAGGCGTCTGCAATTGTTTTTGTAAACTGTCGTCCTCTTTTCTAAGGCATGACGCCTACACTTGCAAATCAGATTAAAACAAATATAAACTACCAATAGCTCTTGATCTCCATCCCCTCCCTAGTTAAACTGTATCTTCCACAAGCATTGAATAATGCCGGTTTGTACTTGGTCAACACAAATCTGAATTTGTGACATTACCACTTTGTTTACAAAAAAAAGTATTCAATTCAGCTAGTTCTGCACAAAATTTTATGTGGTGTTAAATTTGCCAAGTAAATCAAATAAATTGAAACCCAAAAATAATGGCCTTAACAGAAAGAGCTTTGGTGCTATTGCTCATGAGACAGTTAGATCTAACTTCACAGTACAAACTGTACATCCTTTTTAGGCGTAAACTGTGCTTGCACTTGGTGTGCCCTGATACACTGTACAGTCGAGTCTCGTTAATACAACCTCATTCAGACCTAGCCAAATTGTTTGTTATATCAGAATTTTGTATTAAGAGGAATATCAGTCCCATTCATTGTGCACATGCATGCACAATCGGGACTAAGGTTTTATGTTTGTTATAAACCAGAATTTTGTATTAACAGGGTTTGTATTAACGAGACTTGACTGTACATGTACTTGCTCCTTATGAGCACTGACAATAGGTCAAGATCACGGACTGAAGTCACTAGGGCGCCTTCTTAGGCAGGGGGCCAACCATACACAGATCTGGGGCCAATTTCAAGGCGCTGCTTAACAGTTAGCAGAAAAGTTGTGCTTAGCATAGCAGACAAATTTGCTAACCTTGAGCACTATTTCACGGTGTGGATTTGCTAACGGTCGTGCGTGAATGGCAATTTCTATTGTTACGTCACCAAGTTAAGCAAATTTTTCCTCTGAAGTAAGCGTGCCTTTTGCTATGCTTACGCTTACGGTCTCCACGAAATAGACAGAGGCTCTGTTAGCATACAATCCTGTGCTTAGCAGCACCGTGAAGTTCCGGCCTTGTCCCTGGGCCCAATTCCATGGCTCTGCTAACAGAATTCCGTGCTTACAATCAAAATTTTGTGCTAACCGCGCTAGCAGAAAAATTCTAAATCCTTAGTTACGGGATGTATGCATGCACATAAGCTAAAATTCCTGGCTCACCTGTGAAATACGCTTACCCTAAACAGGAATTTTCTGCTACAGCAAGCAGGGATTTCTCGCTAACGGTAAGCAGAGCCATGAAATTTGGCCCCGTGTCTCAGATCTTGATAGGTGTTGACAGTATAGGTACTAAAAACATGCCACAAACTACATGTACATGTACATTCTTTCCAGATTTTTTTTTATTTCCCGATTTCTTGTGCACTTCCATGTCATCATGACTCAAAAGAGTCTTGATTTGTGTATCCAAAGCCAATATGTCTCAGGAGGCCAGTGTTTATTTTCAGTTTCTGTTAGCAAAGCACAGACTGAGAGTGTTCTATTTCTCCGGATGGGATACAAGTCAAATTTTTGACATAGTACTATAGGTTGGGCCTTGGGGAGAGGGGTATATGGGGAAGGGTGGTGAAATCGCTTGCCCCAGGACCCAGGACCAGATGGCAAAGTCTATTTCACGTTTCTCCCCAACTTACACCACAGCCATGGATACTCTTGGGAAAGGAGCGACAACTGGGAATGCAGGAAAGTTGCATGCCCCAGAAGCAAGGATCTGCCTTGCAAATTCAAATCTCTGACCTCATTTCATGGGTCACACTCTTCCCCACCAGGTCACCATGCCTCTCAAATCATGATCCACCGGGTAAAATATAAAGTGTTGCAAATGTCAAGAAGCCTGTGTGTCCAGGCATGTCTTTCCACGGCACAGCGCACTTGGTGGGATAGTTAAGACTGTTGCCCTTCTTGTTGTCCTGCGGTGCCCCCTCGCACAGCTTGGGTCTCTTGGCTTGAGAACCACCCTCATTGCGATCACTCTCCTCCCTGTCCGTCTCACCCTGTCTGTCCAGGGGTTTGCCAGCCTCAGGGGTGGTTGTACCACTGGCAATATCTGTAGCTCCGTCTCCCTGTCTGGCCTCCGTTGAGGTACCCGGTATTCCTGTGTCTTGCAAAGATGAGCTGTCGTCAGGATTTGGGCTCGCTTGCTTGGAATCGTCTCTTGATACGGTTTTCGTTCCGAGATTCGGATAGGGTAAAATGACCGTGCGGTGTTCGTAGTTTCGCTGGAGACATTCGAAGGTGGAGATGTCACTAAACCCCAGGGAGCCCAGCTCCTCACAGGTGCGTTGTACCTGCTCAATGCAGGGTGAAAAGGAACATATCTTGCCTCCTAAAGACATAAAAGAAGAAAAGAAACGAATATAAAGTGGATAATTTTTATTGGATATTATGGAACAAGATCATTAAATGTGAATTTTTCAATGTTCATTTATTCCATTCACTCAAAAAATACAGGAATAATCAAGTCAAACTGACGACTCAAAATTGAACTTGCTGGTTCAATTTATAAAACGCTATAAAGAAACCGCCACAGCTGATGCAACAAATAATAATAATATTTTGTTTTCCTCCTTTTTATATATTTTTTTTGTTTAAGACACTGTTAACTGTGCACATCTGCATGTATGTGACAATGTTGGAATTGAAAGAAAGCTTCAACTACCTCAAATTGCCTCTTAATATTGGATTGTGACTTCAACTTGGACAGCAATGAGCATAAGGTGCTTTCCAAATTAAGTGATAAGAAGAAAAAACCCTAAACTTCCCAGTGTAAAGTTACTTTTGTAAATCTGCCAGGCCAACAGCATATTTTTTGCATGTATCTTCTTAATGTGGGCCGTGTTAGCCAGATCCATTGACTGGAATAAGCATTTTTTTTAATGCCAGGAGGTCCTGAAAATTGGTTTTACCAAAGTTGAGTTTAGACCTACCACTTGTCTTCAGGATCTTCTTAGCATGAGACACTGCACGCCAAGGACACGGCAGATCCAAAAACACTGCATCAACCGTGAAGTCAATTCCAAAACCATGCTGCGGAAAGAAAATAAGTGGACTGTAAGTTTGTACAACAGTGGTTTGAAGGAAATTCACCACTTTACGACTTAATTCCTCTGGACGTGGTTTTGGACAATGTACATGTATGTGGGGATTAGATAAGATGTGGTTTTTAATCAATATATGCCTAAAACTGTGTTCTGTCATGTCAATGCTAAGCTGCGATTTTCTCACTGGACTGGGGTATGTATGAACAATACAGGGCCAGTCCAAAAAAAGGAAACCCAAATGTCAGGAACATTTTTTTAATGAAGCTCTGCATGTAGCACTTTCAAGAATCATTCAAATCAATCATGTACTTTTCAAGTTATGGAATTTTGAACACAAACACCATTTTAAAGTTCTGTCCATGGAAAAGGTAAGTGTTCTTTCAGCAAAACGAAAACAATTCACATACATCCCTATGTGAATTGTCTTCGTTTTGTTGAAAGCCAAGAGCATCCCAATGGATGTGCCCCTACATGGTTAAAAGAGAGACAGGTGGACATTTCAGTGCCACTGCTGCCATGTGCTCACACTGTTTCTCCTCCAAAATGTGAAAGAAACACAATGGGTTTATGCGCATTTGTATGAAAATTGGTCACTCTTCGCTATCATGTGCACACAGTGCATGCACACACCTTGTCCTTCATTTACGCGTAGTTCATGAGTATGGTCTTGCTGAAGAGACAGTAGAAAGCATTGTGTGACAACTCAGGAGAGCTCCAGTACCTTAACCACTTTGCCCTGGGATTATTTTTGCCGAAAATTTAAATTTCGAAAAATTGCAACTGATACACAGCCAAACGCCACAAATACTGATTCGCAAGAGTCATTTCAACAGTATTTGTACGATATTTCTTGGCGAGTTGTGCACTGGAGCGTAATTGTCGAACAACAGGCCGTGCACAACGGCCAACTTAAGATAAGCACAGGGTCCACCTGCACAGACTTCACAGATTTTGTGTGTGTATACAAAAGGCACGAGGGATTAGCCTGTGTGTAGATGTCACACAGAGGCGAGTCGTGCCTGTGTTATCACGTCCTCCGACGCAAACTGGTTAATGGAGGAATGCACCCGCGCATAGATACCAATAGCAATGCCCATCATCTTTGTCTTTTTTTAATTCCTTGAGGTGGTACTTCTGCACATGGTGTCCATACTCCATACACCATATACTGTTCCTGCATGAAGTCCAAGGGTTTAGTGCAAAAGTACACCCCTCAACGGTTACAAAGGGAGAGTTGGGGGAGAACACAGGAAGGGACATTCAAACGCATTGCTGACAGCGCCTGATGCTCACGAGAAGACGCTACCGGTTTGTGCATATTCGGAATAAAATAAGTTGTGCTACTTTGCACAAGACGCAAACCTGTACGCGCACTCGGCATGTCCCTTCCACTGGGGCTTTCGAAAGTGGTCACACAGCGCCCTCTACTGTTCGTGCACGGGGTCAATACACTGTACGTACCTCCAAGACATCCCTGTGAGCTACAGTGACCAGGTGTGAGATGCCGTGGTCCTTGAAGTCCTCTCTTGCCTTGACAGCTCTCTGCTCATGGAACTCAAAGGTATGTAGGTGGCCATTGGGAGCTATGGTCCTCGCAAACGCATGGGAGACTGAGCCACTTCCAGTTCCTGGAGGGGGAGGAGGATATTTCATTGCAAAATGTTAATGCTTGATTAATTTCATTTAAAAACACCTTTCCAGCATGGGTAACATGGATGTTTTGTGTATGATGTTTATCAAATTGCACACCACTACAGACACTGAAGGGCATGTAGACACCACTACAGACACTGAAGGCATGTGGACATGGGCAGTGGACAAGACTAGAGCACATTTAGTAGAAATGACTAGAGACCTGACCTCCAAATCATTACCACATTTTTTTTTTTTTTTTTAACTTAGCGTTAAAAAAGCAGTATTTTGAAACTATTGTGTAAACGTGTATTTTATTGGGGTTTACCCGATGTTCCCCAATACCTATGTTCCCCAATACCTATGTTTCCTAAAATCCTTAGGGTTAGGGTTAGGGTTAGATGGTTAGGGCAAGCGTTAGGGTTGGGGAACATAGGTAAGGCCAAAAAAAAGTAGTTCTGCTTCCGATTACATGGCATTCAAAAATAGGGTAGGTAGGTAGGTAGGGCATTTTTTTTTTTTTTGGCCAATATTTTTTTGTGTACATACGATCATATGGAGGCGTCTGCGTGTAGTCAAGGGTAAAAGGCAGTGTTGGAGCAAAGGCTTTGACCCTCAAGGCCAAGGCCAAGGCCAAGGCTTTAACCCTCAAGGCCAAGGCCAAGGCCAAGGCTTTGACCCTCAAGCCTCGAGGCCAAGGCCAAGGCTTAACCCTCAAGGCCAAGGCCAAGGCCAAGGCCCTGTTTTATGAAATGACCACTGATATAGAACTTATTATAGTCACATGAGTGACACATCATCACGTAAGGGCGGACCCAGAACACAATTTTTTTGGGGGGGGGTAAAGAAATTTTACTCCCCCCAAAAAAGTGGGTCAAAAAATTACGGCTTGGGCTTCAGGGCCCGCTTAAGGGCCCCGAAAAAATTTTGGATTCGAGATGCTCTGTGGTGCGATTTGAGGCAATTTCTGACCATTTTAACCAATGTTTTTTTGAGGAAAAGATAGTGGTGTACTCATTGCCTGCCTTTATTACGACGTCACATAAAAACAAATGGTTTCGTTTTTTTTTGGGGGGGGGGGCATGGCCCCTTTTGGCCCCCCTTGATCCGCCCTTATCATCACGAATTGCTGGTTATGAAGAACAACATTTCTTTAATTGCAATCAACATGCTTGCATAGGCCTACACCGTTTTATGACTGCACTGTATCTATTAAAGTATAAGTTCAGGTCTTCAATATTGTTTAACTAAACAAAATAATGATTTACTTCTATATTGACACACAATTCTCCCAAGTGTAACAAAAGGGGGATCCAAGAAACTGATTTAGGAAATTTTTATTTGCTGGCCCAACATGGTCAGAAATATCAGCATTATCTAAAACAGATACATGCAAATCTTTAGCACTTATCAGGGAGACATATACAACCAATCAGATCTATTCCATAGTTATATGCAATTAAAGTGATCATCTCATTAGCCCCACAAGTGTACGGAAAATGTTTTGCAGCAAATATATTCCAATGGTAACAAAATGTGATGCTATAAAAGTGGAAGTGTGCCCAAAACACAAATCTATAGGGTGCTTCCCTCCTCCATGGTAATATGATTAAAATGATAACAGCAAAATTTCGAACAGATTTATCTGGAAAATGCAAAAATCTATGGGCCTTGAAGAGCCTTGACTCAAAATTGCAAGGCCCTGAACCCTCAAGGCCAAGGCCAAGGCCAAGGCTTTTGCCCTCAAGCCTCGAGGCCAAGGCCAAGGCCCTAAAATCCAGCCTTAAGGCAGCCTTAAGGCCAAGGCCCAGCATCAAGGCACTACATCACTGGTAAAAGGTACAAATTACGGTTTTGGGTGTTTTTCTCTTTTTCCCCATAAAAAGAATAGGGTAGGGGCTGTCAGGTAGGGAAACCGGAAGCAGAACTATTTTTTGGGCCTTATGGGGAACATAGAGAATGGGGAATAAAATGCACCCATTTTATTACCATCTGAGAACAGCTAGACAATGAGAGAACAACAGATTCATTGTCCTCCTCAGACGGAGATCTGCGATTGAAAACGATCCTCGCACATAAATATGTGTGCTTATCCTATGGAAGAGCGTTAATATAATAGGAACAAACAGAAACAATGCCTTGACCTCAAAACTTAACTGTATGATATTGTGTGCAAACAAGTCCATAAACAACAGTTCTTGAATTTGGGCCACATATACTACAAGTTGTGATTGGAATACAAATATGCGGGCTCCCTAAGCAATATAATTTTGGTGATTTGGTTTTTTTTTTCTTCTTACGAAGTCACTCACCGGATTCGACTACAACAGAGCCTGGCTTGAGCTCCAGCTGCAAAGTGATGAGGCTGATGTCAGCAAAGTAAAGTATTTGTGTTCGATGGGGCAGATTGAGTGTCCAGAGTTCAGGAGTCGGCTGCAGCAGATGCACATAACCCTGCAAACAATCATAAATAATTACACCAAAAAAGAGCTGAAGGGATGACGAATGGGGTGATGATATCTATGTGTGCCCATAAACTGGATGGATCAGAGTTTCCAGCACATTATGAAAACACAATTCCCTGAGTATTCCCTGATATTTTCACGAGAAATTACCAAAATTCCAAGAAAAATATTTTGAATGAATTGAGGACAGGAACCAAATCAAGGACTCCTCGGTTGGAAAACGTGTACAAAACCAATGAGAGCTATTGCAAAAAAGTTATAGATATAGAAATAGATATATGGATTTTACTCAAAAACTAGGAATTTCCAAGGTGGGTTGATCTGTCGCAAATGGAAGAGTTTTAGAAAAGGGAAATTAAGTCCAAATTTCAGCCAAGGAAATTAATTCTGGTTAAAATAAGAGCATTTTCAAACTTCACTTTCAAACTCGAAAACTTTACTACACGAGAACAAAGAAATGTCTCCACAAGGATACAAATTTGAGTGTGTGTGGGTGTGTGTGTGTGTGTTTTGGGGGGTTTTTTCTTGGGGGGGGGGGTAATCAAGTGCTCAGGCGTGGGTGGTGAGACAATCAGGATCTCATCTTGCTTTTATAGAAATAAGACCATTTACAGACAACATGTAATTGTATGTACCTTATCACTAAGGGTGCTGAGTCGACAACCGTACTTCTTGCCAATGATGTCTGAATGTCGTAAGGCACCTCGCTTGGTCTGCGTGACGGTGCCGTGGCTGAGTTTCAAAGACATCATGGAGTTGTAGCCCAGATACACAATAGCCTTGTCTCCATCACATATCACGTCCGAGTAACCAAGGAATCCCATGATGAGCTGCTTAAGACTGAATGATTTCAAAACCAGAAGTACATATGTTAAAACGTAAATATCGTAAACATGCCGAAAGGTGTACACATGTATGGAACATTCACAGGCGTACAAAGCACATGAGGGTAGATATGGGTAGAAATGCAGTTGTGTGACACAACATTTTTCACTGTACACGTATACCAGTTCATTGACAGTCTCACGGATACAACCATCTTTGTAATCACATAATCTCTGGGGTCATTTCATTGAAAATACGTCCTGTCATGTTCAGGAAACAATAGCATGATGTAATAGCAGACCCACTAACTGGGGCGCTTGTTGAACTCCTTTTTTCAAATTTTGGATTTGGTCAGTCACACTAGGGCGCTAGCTAGAACTCCTTTTTTATGAATTTTGGATTTGGTCCGTCGTACTAGCTAGAACAGACAGACCAAATCCAAATTCAAAATTAGGAGTTCTACTTCTAACGCCCCAGTTAGTGGGTCTAGAATACTAGTAATAGTTACTTTTAGACCCAGATCCTATATAATAAATGGTCTTTAACTTTTACTTGGGATAATCGATATATCGAATATTCTCTATAGTGGACTTCCAGTATTGGCCTTTTTATTATTGAAAATTCTGATATCAACGTAGGCCTAGTCTATGGCCCGCAGGCCCCGCACTGGAGTAGACGTACATTTTCTCAGAAAGTTGGTAACTTGAAAAAAGAAAAAAAAATTCGTGGAAATCATTTGGAAGTTCATGACAGGCAGCCGAGTATAAGTATATAGTCTGGTTCTCCCACCAAATGATTTCCCTTCCTTTAACGTACACACGTGAAGGACACCGCGCCTGGTTATGGCCATATCATATCTGAAAACAAATTGCATTCGGGATCAGAACAGCCAACCGATCACAGTGCCGTGCGCCTCGATTCAGCATAAGTAATTTTAATAAATAATAATTACTTTTTCGCAATCAATTTCCTCTTTTCCAGCTTGGTGGTGTTTCATGTGAGGGTTTTTTTAAAATAACTTTTGCACCCATGGACAGCTCAATGTTCATTTCAACAGCTCTGACCACCCCATGCTTTTATTTTACAGATTTTCAGTCCGGGTCACATGAACCCCCGCCCCCCTCCCCCCGAGTCATTATCGACGAAGCGCGCGTCGATTTGAATCATGCACGTCAACCAATTTTTTTTTTCTTCAAATTAACACGGAAGCTACAACGTACAGCGCCCTATCGCGATTTCAAGCAAGATGGCGGTATCCGCAAAACGGCTTATGTCCACCGATCGCTCCCATTCCCAATAACCATGGCACTTGATAATTATCTAGCTTGAGTAACTCCGGCTTAACAAGCTCATCAGGAGTTATGTGAATTCCTGATGAGCTGGAGTTACTCAAACTAATGTAATATTGTTGATGTACCCTAGTCCGAAAATTTGGGACTCTCAATACAGTGTATGAGAGTCCCAAAACTTAAGGTATTGAAAACATGCAAAAAACAAGAAAATAGACTGGCACCTAAAACAACCAGTCCAACACAGCTTCAGTACTGCATCAATCAACCATGCCAAAAGAATTTAAGAAACATGTGGCATGGAGCGGGAACTAGTCTCAATTTACTACACATTTCTCCATAGGCAAGCCACCAGACTATTAACAATGAATGAAGAGGTCAGTCTTTTCCAATAGTTGGACCATGGTTGGACATATGTACCAGTCTACTATTTAGCCCCATTTTGAAATCACTTGACTTCGCTCTCATGTGCAAAATATTGAAGGAAATTAGTCTCCTTTAAAAATTGAATTGAGTCTGCAAACTTGGTTGGTGAAATACTGAGGACATTTTCTTTGCCCCAGTGGAATATTTGGAGAAATTTGCTGGCTAAACTGTGAGTAAAGTGGGCCTGATTTAGTTTTGCACGTTTCAGAGCACTCCAGAGCCCTGTCTGGATGTACCCTAACGTGGCGCGGCCCCCAACGTGGCGCACTTTGATTTTTCGCCTGTTTTAACTTAAATTTCACAGAAAGTGAAATTTCATCAAGTTCTAAACACTCCTGTTCATAAATCACGAGTTTATTTACCCGTAACAAAGTTAGGCCAAAAAAAAAAATACTCGGTCTCTGGTCAGCGCGCGCGTCGATTTTAATCATGCGCGTCAACCTATTCTTTTTTTAAAATTAATACGGAAGCTGTAGGGTTCAAATTCTATTTCCCCACATTTTGCCACAGGCCGCCGATTTCCAATAACGCGATCTCAATCGGACCTATAGTTTCTAGAATTATCGATGCTAGAAACCTGTCTATATGAGTAACAGTTGGTTTATTGTTCATACTGCAGGTGTCATTACATACCTCAGAACAGGCATCACAGATGTACATGTAGATTCAACTTAGAAAATGAACAACTCCATGAAAATGAGAGAGAACAATAGAGAACGGTAAAAGAAAATTGTTGTCTAGCTGGCCGTGGCGAACGAACTGAAAACAAGTAGTTGCCACGCGTAACATTTGAAACTGATTAAGAACGCGTAAGTGCGCGCAGTACGCAAACCAGAAGCGCGCAGAAGACTGGCCTCAACATTCCAGCCCCTTAATTGTTATGTAACGAACATACAATTACCTCAAATCATGAAAACTATAAAAGACTCAGGCACTAATTTAAACGCACTTTTAAAAATAGAACTAGTTGCAGCAATCGTTACTGCTTTAAAGAGAAACCTGTAGAATACTAGATGCTTGTCAACCGAAGCACTGAATACAGAGTGCACACAGGTGTAACTCCAGCAAATGGTGTCTATTCATGCATCCCTGTAGCAATAAGAATAAAGACTCATCAAACAAGTTTATAAGTTATCATAACAACAGTCTTTGCATGCTTCACAAAAAAAAAAGCTTTAAGAAAGTGAGTTTTCATCAAAACAAAAAGGACACATCTGACAACTTGGAAAAAGGCAAACACTTGTACTAAGTAGAACAATGTCTTTTCAACAAGTAGAGTATAACTGTACAGCGTATGCTGAACATTCTTAAAATTACTTTAAAAGACATAACATTCACGGAGACTTCCATTAGGATGAGTACAATTCGTCGAATGTCCGGAATCGTCTTGCGATGATTTCAAGTAGAATTTGGCTTCAGAACCTGCAGCTCCATCCGCGATGACTAAATCACACTGCATCGAACTGACAGGTGTTCCAGGTGAAATGGTGGCTGTAGAACATTGAAGGTCTCCCTTGTGAAGATCCACTGTCTGGTTGGTATCCTTAAGCAACAGCTTGAAAGGACCCTTAAAGTCAGTCTTGCTTTTAATCTGACTTGGGTTCCCAGCAACCCATCCCAACTCTAGGGTAACCTACAGTTAGGTGTCCCAGTTTAGACGCCGGGGACTCGTCTCTTCAAAGTGTCTATAACTGTTGTGCATTACACAATGGCTCATTGTGATCCTTCAGAACTGAAGTTTCTTGCTCAAGGAGAAGGCAAAGCTTCGTGACCGGTCTCACCAGAAGAGCCGTTCTTGTTTTTACCTCAGCACTCCTGATCAATCCATTCTTGTCAGGATAGGTTTTTTCCACTATTCCAAGGGGCCACGAACTGCGCGGTGCTTGATTGTCGGCAACTAACACCACATCACCAGGGTGTAGGTTCCTCTGAGGGTACAACCATTTTTGGCGCCGTTGAAGATCCATCAGGTATTCTCTAGACCATCGCTTCCAGAACAGATCTGCCAAAAACTGCATTTGGCGCCATCGCCTCTTCGCATACTGATCTTTCTCTGAGAAAACACCAGGTGGTGCGACGTATAGACTGCTCGGTCTCAGCAAGAGCAAATCATTGGGAGTGATGGCGTTCAAATCCTTAGGATCATCAGACGCATGGGTTAACGGTCTACTGTTAATTGTGTACTCAACTTCACACATCAAGGTCCTGAGCTGTTCCTCATCTCTACACACTCTCATATGCTGCTCATTCAACATGGCTTGAAGTATCTTCCGAATGGTACGGATTTGGCGTTCCCAGATGCCGCCAAAGTGTGAAGCTGCTGGCGGGTTGAACTTCCAGGTGATACCACGATCAGTTGCGAATTTCTCGAGAGTTTCATGATTCCACTCGCTCATCGCCTTTTTCAACTCTGCATGAGGACCCACGAAGTTGGTACCATTGTCGGAAATCAACTCTTTTATATTTCCTCTTCTGGCAATGAAGCGTCTCACTGCATTTATGCACGAGCTTGTGTCTAGGCTCTCTGCAATCTCAATGTGAACTGCTCGGCTGGTCGAGCAGGTAAATACAACTCCATACCGCTTCTTTATGTTGCGGCCCTGCTTGATATTGAAGGGGCCAAAGTAATCTATTCCGGTGCTAGTGAAGGCTGGCTTCTCAGATAGCAGCCTGTTAGCGGGTAAGTTTGCCATCTTCTGCTGACCCAATTTAGCTTGGACTTTCTTGCAAATCACGCACCTCTTCAACACACTCTTCAAAACCACTCCTGCCTTCAAAATCCAATATCTCCGGCGCAGCTGTGCAAGTACATGATTTCTGCCTTGGTGGTGAATCTTTTGGTGTGTATGTTGCATAATCAGGTCTGTCACGTGGCACCTTTGTGGCAGGATTATCTGATGCTTGGCTTCCTCTGGGAGTTGAGCGGCTTGTAACCTACCGCCGACCCTCATCAAGCTCTTGTGCATCACTGGGTCTAACTGGTCTAACAGCTTATCCACTTTCTGCTGTTTTGGAGATTCCCTTGTGAGATCTTGAGGGCCATCATTCATTTCTTGAAGCCTCTTTATCTGGTGAGGAAATGCCTCATGTTGAACCCATCTCAAGATACTCACTTCAGCTTCTTCTATTTCTTCCACTGTGAGGTTGTTCACAGCGTCATGTTTGAATTCTTCTTTGCTTCTCTTTCTCAGGATTCTCTTTAACCGTAGCCACCATGCTGCGGCTCTCCTCAGACGATTCCAATCTGAGTAGTATTCTATCAGCTTCTTAACTGCATTTGACCGACTCAGCAGATTTTCA